TGCTTGCTCAGAGACAGTAGTTCCAGATGTTCAAGCCAAATTATCTGTTATAGCCATTTTAAGCCTTCTCTTCCTTATCCTAACTATGATGATACAGAAAATAATTTATTCTTTTCATCTCTGTAGCTATGTTTTACAGAGTAGTGTGTACCTGTCTTCCTATGGCAAACTCTTTATTACTGCCTTTTTACCCTTTGTTCTTACCTATTGTTGCTCCCCTCCCCACTCAGTTAAAGGCAAAATATTTTTAAACCAGTCTTCAAGAGTGATTCAATTGTGTTTACTAATTTGGTTACTTTTCCTTAATTTTGATGTGATTCTCTTCTGGTCTGAAGAGTATCTAGCAGTGTGTTCATTATTATACAAAAGGAATTTCTCTGTCCCTTGTAGAAGTAACACTGTCACTGTCTTTGGTGATGACAAAGTTATTTTCAACATAAAACCAAAATATGCCTGGTATTTTAGTTTTCATTTACCAAAGCAGCTATATGAAATAGTTTATCAAATTTCATTGGATTATATGACAGGCTGTTAAGTTTACTGTACATTTTGTGTAATACATTGCTACTTCTATTTTTTTTTTTTTAATTCTGTATCTTGATAAATGAGATATGAGATTGCTTGTCATCACTGGTAATTATTTTGTCTCCAGCACAAGAACTAGCATAGAGTTTCTTGTAACACTTCTTCCTAGCTTGCTGCTTTTTCAGTGGAAACTTTTCTCTAAGGAAGTCTTCAGGAATCTTATGACAGCAGTCCTAGATAGAATGCCTATTCTCCAAGGCTGTTATTGAAAATCCTCAGTAGTATTCTTGAAAGCCCACAGTATGATAAGTAAAAGGATTATTACCATTTTAATGCTCAACCTGATTTGGACCACAAACCGACCAAGCAGTTGTGTGATCATGCACGACTTCAGTGTCATGGTAAAATTTGTCATTGAAGAAAAATTACATATATTTTCCTTTGAAAATAGATAAGTTAACTTCTTTGTATCATTGAATTTAATATATTGGGACACATCTGCTAAAGGATTATTGCACTAGAAGGAGGCAATGGATAATTTATTAAAATACCCCTGCAGGGAGATAGCAGGCTATCTGGTTAATATAGAGGAATGCTTGATGGTTACGCTGAAAGCTCCCTGGTGAATCCTTTAACATAGGAATAGAATGGGAGATGAGAATGATTGCTCGTTATATAATGTTTACTGTGTTATATTGGTGCCTAGCAGATGAATAATATTTATGTTAACAACTCCTTTCCAGCTTTTTATATTGATCTCCTGCTGGTCTAGGGCTGATATATAATCTACTGAAAATAGGAAGATAGTGCTTTTTTTTTTATAATGGAGGGTGGTAAATAGGTTCTTCCAACACATCACCCAAGTTGGATATGAAAGGGAACATAGTGTATCTTTGTGCCACAGACTTGTAAGATTTTAATTTACTTTTTTAATTTACTTTTTTTTTTTTCCTGAGCTGTTTCTCATGTCTTTGTAAACTTAAATGAACTGTAGAGAGTGTCCCACAGGCAGTGGGAGTTTCCTGGTGGGCGGGAAAGCTTCTTTCCTTTGCCTCAAAGGAACCTCACTGTTGCCATGCTTACTGAGTTTGAGAAGGACCAAATGACTCTGTCTTTCCATCAATGCTCAAAGCTAAAAAGCTGACAGATAGCTGTCCTGCCTCACTGAAATAAGAGTTCCTGTGTAGCTCGCCAACCTTAAATAAAGATTTTCATTCATGCCGTAAGAATTGAGAACTCACATTTTAGTTGTTTACGTTACTTAGAGAACATAAACTAAACCAAGTGTTTGGTGGCAATATCCCATTGGAAGGTCCCCAGATACTCTACCCAGAAGAACTGACATGCCTCAGTTTTCTTGCTAACAGCAAAGGACAGTTTCACATGGCAACTAAGAGCAAAATGAACCTAAAAAGTCCTCAAGGTCACTTGCTTTCATTGGTTCCTTGGGTTGATGTTTCTGGGTTCTTCCACTCCTCCTGTTAAGCAAGCCAGGTCTCAGAAATAGCAACGGTTTCTTAAAAACCTGAGCTGGCATGTTTTTTAAAAAGAAAAAAACAAAGACAAAACCCAAGAAACCTTTTGCATGTTATTTGTTGTTCTTTTCGGGTCAAATGATATTATGTGAGAAACTTCACACATCTCAGTCACTGTGGACTGAAGGTTTGGAGTGGAAGGATCCTTACACTTGAAATAAGAGCTGTTTATGTGAATCTTACTGGATTTTACTTGGAAGAGAGCCAGTGCTGTGCTCCTTAATCATTAAATGCATGAAAAGACAGTAAAGACATTGCTTTCCTATAAAATGGAGGATAGTAAATTAAGACAGAGAAAGACTGTGATCAGCAACAGATTGGAAAGCATTTCTCCTACATCATGTATGGAGAATAAAGAAAAGGCATTAAAAACATCTGTTTTATCAAGAAAAATGCCACACTTCTCTTTAGTCAGTGCAGTTCCATGACAACTGCATCCCTTAAGAACATTACTGTGTGCTTCAGTATAAATGTTTGATTTCAAATCAGGTTACAATAAAAAACTTGAAAGTGTTTATAGAAGCAAAACCAACGTATGAAATTATGCTATTTGTGAGTTTATCTTGTAAAAGGAGTAAACTCCTAAATGTCAGACAGTTTTGTTTTGTGGTAGCTAATGTTTGTTTTGGTAGCTAATGTCATGAAAAGTTGCAGTCTGTACTATTATAAGAGGAATCAACAGAGATTTAAGAATACTAGTGTATTGCTGCTGTAGTACCTTTTGTTTATAAATCTTAATACATTTTTTAATATTTAAAGCTTTTTACAACCTTTGTGAATTAAAAACATGGAATTTAGTAAGACAGCTTAAATTCTGTTCTCTTCCTGCTCCTGAAAAGCAATGGCATCTATTCAGCTGTGCATACCAACACTGCAGAAGAGTTTAAAAGGGGTAGTATAAGAAAAACTCCACACAGAGCTGTCTGAGTTCAGCATTGAAAAGAACAGTAAAAGTCTCACACAGAAAGAAACAAAAGTAGCCAAGGGTAGTTATTTTTCATTTTATACAGAAGAAGTTCAGACATCAGAAGTTATGACATCCTCTAATGATTGGATGGACTTAGTATTGGTTTAGCACAACCCAAGGCATTGGTCTTTCTCTGAGGTTTGACACAAACAATGTGATTTACCTGCCTAAAACTCTCTGTAGGATCAGAGTCTCAGAGAGACAGTGTCATTTAGTGAATCACAAGCACAGCTTCCACTAGCATGTGGTAGCTCTTGTCATTCCTGAACAGTGCACCTGAGGACTTGGGAAGCAGAGTAAAACGTGGCTAGTTACTATAACTTGTTATCCAAAATACTTGCTACAGCATTGCATCAGATGGTGTTACGCTGTAGGACCTTTGATTTAAACTTTACATATACCAGTTACAGCATTCCCTATTTAAACTTCTACAAAGAAAATAGTAATTTTACTTATTTTTCTGCTATTAATGACCCACTTTCCACAGAGGGGTGAAAAAACAGCATTGCATAATTAAAGCAAAAAAGATGTGCTACTAATTACAGATATACATAACTAGTAGTTCTATCAGACAATATGTATTTCCTCTACTTGTGTCAGAAAAGGTGGAATCTTTTATTTTAATGAAGTGCAAGTGCAGAGTTAAGCTGTAGCAAATGTGGAGGAAACCAGTTACCTGCTGTCATATCCTTTCAGTAGCATACTTGCATTTTTTTAATGACTAAGCAGTCTTACTGTAACCAGGTAGACATTGTTTAAGAGTAAGCGACTATGAAGTAAATGGCTGTTTAAATTGACACCATTTACTTAAATTTTCTTCAAATGCAGTTTACTTTACACAATTTATTTCAAGGCTGATTTTCTGCATACTGCTGCTGCTCTGCTGCTGTGTGATAGCTTACTAAGCTGTAGAAACTAAGCTGATCTCTTGAAGGAGTCTTAACCCAACATTTCAGTGTTGAATTTGTTTTCATCAGGAAGTTCAAATACTTGACTTTTCAAGTCCCTCCTAATCTGAGTAACTATGATTTCTTTGAACTGTTCTAATCAGAGAATGGGTGAGGTTTGAAGAGACCACAGTGTGTCATTTGGTTCAACCTTCCTGTTCAAGCACAGGCACAAGCACAGGACACAAGATTGCATCCAGACAGTTCTGGAATATCTCCAGTGATGGAGACTCCACAACCTCTCTGGGCAATCTCTTCCAGTGCTTGGTGATCTGCACAGTGAAAGAGTTCTCATGTTCTTCCTCATGTTCAGGTGGAATTTCCCATGCATCAGTTTCTGCCTGTTGCCTCTTGTCCTATTGCTTGGCAGCACTGAGAAGAGCCTGACTCCATACTCGTCACCAACTTTTAAGATATTTATACACATTGATGAGGTCCCCTCTCAGTCGTCTCTCCTTAGGCTGAACAGGCCCAACTCCCTCAGCCTTTCCCATAAAAGAGACATTCCAGTCCCTTAATCATCTGTCTTTATTGCCCTCCACTGGATCCACTCCAGGAGCTCCATGTCTCTCTTGTCCTGAGGAGCCCAGAACTGCACACAGCACTCCAGATGCTGCCTCAGTAATTCCTCTGCAAAGCACATACTCACAACTTTTAGAAATGACTAGTGTGCCATGATGATCATATTTTTCATGATACTGTATGAATGTGGAAAAATAACAGTTCCCTTTGCTCTTCCACATCAGTTGAACCATTTGGAATAAAAAATCCTTGACTGTAATGTGATGAAAAATGCTTTATTCTAAACTTAACTGCCAAGTTACTCAATTTGAATGACTGAAGTTTGCTTTTTCATATAGGAGTTTATGATTGTAATAAGTAAGAAATCAGTTTCTTTTCAGTGTAATTTGAAACTGCCTTACTTGAAAATGATGCACTTTGCCAGCACAGTCCCTAGCTAAGTGTTACTTCAGGCAATTGAAATACGAAAGAAGTAATGAACTGTCTGTTTGTTCAATCTTCTAGCTAAAAAGAAGAAGAAGCCAAAGCTCTTAAACAAGTTTGATAAGACCATTAAAGCTGAACTAGATGCTGCAGAAAAACTACGTAAAAAAGTAAGTTTTGAATGTTTCACTCAGAATTGTATGCAGTGGACAAAAATCAATAAATTAAATACTTGTAAAAACGGAGAATGAATTTTAGATAACTTTTTGTGAAATTAACTTTTGAAATACTCAGCGCATATTTGTCCTTCAAGTTTAATTTTGGCTGGATAGTTTGCATTAATTTTTTTAAAGTCATAAGTGTATGTCTGTTCATATGTGTTTGTTAACCTTGAATATATGTAGCTTCATCATTGAATTTCTGCTTAAATGGATCACATCAAACAGGGTTAGTTCTGTCCTATCACCCTTGTCCAGTTGACTACTGAGGTCAAGTGCTACCAGGTAACTCTGTGTGTATTAGCAGGGATCTTTCAGTGAGTGTTCAGGGATCTTTCCTTTTGAGTGTTAGGTACGGATCACTGAAGTAGGTGTTGTTTTGGTTGAGATTCTGAGTCCTGGGAGTGTCTAGGCTGCTGTACAGCTGCTTAGAGGATGAAACAGATGTTCCTGCTTCTCACCAGGGGCAGCAAGACCTTAACATCAATCATTCAGTTTGGGTAGTTCTGAATTTAATAATGTGACCATGAAAAACAAACCAAAAATCCCCCAAGCTCTTCAGTAATTTCCCCTTATAGCTTCCAATTTTATACTTTCATTTGAATATTTCAGAAAAGAATACCTTTGCAAAGATGTCCCTTTTCCAGATGTGAGATTAAATACTGATGCAAGACTGTGGCTGTTAAAAATGAGAGCCTTCAAATCTTTTGAATGTATTTCTTGTTAAAGAAGACAGTTCTAGACTCACAGGCAGTTCTAGCACTTAAGGAACAACTGCAGGTCTTTGCTGTACCGTAGATTTGAGGTAAATGAGCAGTGAGATATAATATTTTCAGTACAGTAAAATAAAAACTAATTTGGTCATTGCAGGTGCAGAATTATTCTTGATTTTCAGGACACATTGTGCAGTTTTGACTTTATCTTGCCATCTATGCAGCCCCAGAGTTCTGGTAGGTCTGTGATGGGACCGAAGGGCTCTTGCATAGGTAGAGCTAACCTCTGGCTGCTACTGCTGATGTTCCACACTAGAAGCCTTCTTTACATGTTAGAATACAAAAACAAAAGAAATTTTCATGCTTCTTGTTAATTAAGCAATTGGTTAATCAGAAAAAGGTGTAATAGACACATTTGATGAATCTGTAGGGTCAGCTTGTTGACTCTCTTTTCCTCTTGTATTTCTTGATAAGTTACAGATAGTCATTCATGTCATGTAGGAATCAGGATAAATTTAGGAGCAAATCAGATGTGTATAATATTTTAAGACAGTAGGGCAGTTGTGTATAATTCATACACATATAACTCATATTTATAAAGCTGTAATGAGGTGGAAGTGGCAGCCAGGTCTATTGCCAAATGTTGCCAAGCAGTGCTTAGCACCTCTTTCACAGTGGGGCTGGTTCTTCTCAACTTCCATCTGTACCTGCTAGTCAATGCCCATCACAGGATCAATCCATCAGGAGAATACCACAGTTCCATTTGGACTTGAGTGACATGTCCTGAGGGATGTTGTCATGCAAAGAACTTGAAGGAAACAGACATACACTGTGATTGAATCTACAATATTTTCCTTAGAACTGTAGTTATGGTGCTGTTCATCATGACAGGTATGCAGAGGGAAAATTTCCACCTGTCTCCAGAATTTTCTTCCTGTTCTCTATTATTTTTCATCCAGAATTGGTTATTAGCAGTAGGGTATTTACTTTTCTATACAGACAGGTTATTTTCATCTCAGCATTTTATCCAGTGAACAACGGAAAGTGAGTAAAGTATGAAAAACCAAGTTATTAATTTTCACCATGGAAATTAGATTACATTGTTTCATAAATAATGACAATTCCTCTTAAAAAGGCACTCCCAACAAAAGTATGAGTGAAAGCTGTTGATTCAGTTTGCATTGCTTTGTGTTTGTTCTTTAATTGTAAAACTAATGTGTTATTAGATCCTGCATCCTTCGGCATTTTTATTAGATAGAGTTGCTGATAAATATCTCTGCTTTTCAGGGAAAAGTTGAAGAAGCTCTAAGGGCCTTTGAAGCATTAGTGAATCGATATCCACAAAGTCCTCGAGCAAGATATGGGAAAGCACAGGTACTTAGGAAAAAAAGTGATAGGTGTTGAAAAAAGCTGAAATAAACATTTTGTTTTACCAATAGAGTTATAAACACTATTTAGAATTAATTTATAAATTTATGCTGCTTTTCTAGATAAAAAAAAGAACCATGTGATCTGTCATATGTATCTCTTCAGTCAGCTGTCCTGCCCCAGTTGTTTTGGCAGCTTTTGTGGAACTTCAGTGGGAAGTACTATAAATAACAACAAAAAAAAAGATACATCCTGTAGATCTCAGGAGAGCTGTCAGATGAATGGCAAGAGATAAATACCAACTAATACCCAGTGCAGGAACAACAGGCGGAACCTACCTGTTACATACTATTTGCTGTAGCTGGGAAATCAACATGTCTGTCAGCCTGGGATAAATGCAGCTTGTTGCTCTAGTGGGAATAGAGAAGAGGATTTGGAGATTTTATAGAGAAAGTGTTAAAGAATAAAGAACACAAATTCTCAGGCAGTGAGGCTTAATTAACTTTACTTGTAGAGTGAGTTATGTTTCAGGTGTTTCCCTTCAAAAAAAAAAAAAAACCTAGGAAAACCAACCAAAACCCAGAAGGCATCAGAAAATAATCTCTGCATTTATAATACTTTTAGGCTGTGTTGAGATGTCTCCAAAGGGAATAATAGTAGGATAATCCTGCTACACGAGGAGTAATAAAAAACTCCTTGAACTCATGTTAATCAGGATAAAAAAGTGAAGCCCTCACTGCAGGAAGGAATGGTGCTGTTAGACAATTGATGGGGAGCTTGGAGTCACAACCAGTTTCCTCTTGGTTAATAATAGTCATGCTAAAACCAAATCTGTGATTATCCAAAAATCTATCACACAAGCACTTGATACAGAGCAGACCAAATGCTTCAGTGCTCTCTGTGGTAACACTTTGCTGAACTCTTTGCCATTTACAGTAGGAGACCACTTTGTTCATACAGATGATGAACTTCTCTCTGTTAAGTTATGCTTTTAATATTTACCAGTTTTTACAAATCTACTCATTATATCTAGTAGAATATGCTTCCTTCCTCCTCTGTTGCTTTAGGGAGAAGGGCAGATCACTGCAGCCAGTTGTGAAATTTATTCTCATTCGGAATTCCCATCTCAGTGACCCAGCTTCATTTGTCCATTTACAGCAATTTGTAGTTGCCTACTACTACTTTAGTAATCCATGAAAGGTCAATACATACCAAGATCTGAGGAAATAATTAGGTGCATTTCCTGAGAGTGTGTAAAAACAATGATAAATTCATTTTCTGTAGCCTTTGAAGGTTCATACTCGTCATTTTACTGAACGGTCATATTGATATAATCAATGGCAGTTTTATTGAACCCAGTATGTGTAAGTTTAAGCTGTTTGAAGGAATAGGAAAACCATAGGCTTCAGATAGATGAGTTAGTCTTAAGATTTGCATTGTAACACAGTATTATTTTTAAATGTGTATTCATACAAAAAAAATTCATTTAAATTTGCTTTTTCTCATCACTAAAAGTAAAACTGCAAAGCATAAGGTTAAAGGCCTTGAAGGTTAGAGCTAAAGAGGGTCAAGAATTCAACACAAAAGTATATTTTTCCTTTTCTTTGAAGCATCAACCAGCATTACATGCTTATTTTGTAGATTCAATTTTTAATAAGATATGAGGATTGATTTTTTTCTGGATCCTTTAATGGCTTTAAAAGGCAATGGTTTTCCCAAAAAAACTACAAAATATTTCATTGTTAGTATGTTTTTCAGAAATATGAGTAGTTCTTTATTTGCTCTCTGAATTACACTTGAGCCAGATAAAATGATACTCTACAGAACTAATTAACATCTTTACAAAAACTGGAAAGAACAGTAGATAGCTTTTTACCCTCCTTATATGGTTTCTACTGGTGGAGTTATGCAGATTTTATGCTGACAATTTTTGCTTCTTTTTTTATATATCTGTAATATTCTTCGCCCTGCAATTCCTTTGAAAAAAGAAGAAATAAATTTCCTAGTGAATTTCCTTACATCAGAAAAAATAAGTTATTGCTTAAAACTGATTTCTGAAGTTGTCTCTGAAAGCTGCTTGATGAACTGTTTGGCTGAGTAACCACATTTTTTGGTATTTCCAATACTAAGTTTTAAAGCAACTCAAGTGCAACAATATTTCAGATACTTGTTATAACATATAGAGATAACACAGTTGAAGCAATTTCATTTAATGTGTGTTTTTGATGCAACAGTGAATTTAAATAGAGCAACAACAGATTCTGCACCATCATGCTTGTGATACGTCTGCCATAGCTCTTGTCTTAAGGAAGAACATAAGCCAATAAATATAGAAGTATTTGAAAAGAATGCATTAAACATGTGAAAATGCATGCATTTATATAAGCAATTGAAAGTAAGCCTTTAAAAATTCTGCACTTGAGACATAGTCTTTTTTAGCTATGGAAGCAAAGTATGAACATGCCTTACCACAGGTGAGATCAGTCGTAGCTTCTGTTAGATTCACTGAAGCTGTAATTTCACTGTAGAGAGCTCATATATCCTTTGGTCTGCTTCTGAATTTGATGAACAAATTTAAGTTTTGAAGGAGTTCTAGGGTACACATTCTATCAAAATATGGAAGGCAAAAGGCAAGTGCTAATTCATTTTGCAATTCATTTTGCATTTTGTAAATAAATGTGTCAAATAGATAAAAATGTTTGTTGGCGTGTTTTGACCTGTGTATTGCTTTAAAAGTAAGGCTTAGTATACAAATAGTCCCAAGGCAAAATTTTGCATTTCTTCTGTGTTATTAAAACAGATTGCTTCATCTGCTTTTGAAAGCAGAAATCATGAATTCTACGAATATTAATCAAAAATCTGTGTTAATGTATGTTTTACGTTCAAATTTTCTACTGCTTCTCCTTTCAAATAGTTTGTAGGTAACAAAATTAAAGGGTAATTCCAGTTTGCTTTCCTATAAAGCAGAATCCATATTATAACAATTGCATAGTTTGCCTGGTAAGAAAATAGTTGGTTTTAAGACTAATGGATTATTAGGTATCCTAATAATGGTTATTCTTTCTAGTCTGAAGATGACTTAGCTGAGAAAATGAGAAGCAATGAGATGCTGCAACAAGCTATCAACACTTATGATGAGGTGGTTAGTCTGCCAAATGTCCCTTCAGACCTGATAAAACTGAGCTTGAAGCGAGAAGCAGACAGGCAGCAGTTCCTTGGTAAGTTTTGAGGATGATATAAAAATTACAGAAGTTGTCTGAGTGAGGATTTCAAGATATCACTAAGGATTTTAAGGTTACAATTCCATTGAAATTTTGGCTATAGTTGTCTTCCTAGTATCTTAAATGAAAGCCATTTTTATTTCTTAGATTTTTTCCTAGGGAACTAGTGTCTATAACTTAGAATAATAGTGCCTGTAGAATGCTACAGCAGATGCTATGAGAAGCTATGATGATAGGTAGTCAAAAATTTTTATTGCCAGTCAAGGAAGAAACTTTTCTTTTTCTACTGAAGCTGAAGAAAATCAAGAGGAAATTACTGGCATAAGCAGAGTAAACAGACTCAGAATAAACTTTCAATAAACAAAGAGAAGAATGGAGTTGAACACGGGGAGAACAGCCCCAAGATTTAGGTTTAGATTCTAGGTTTAGATCTCAATTCTGTGATGTATGAGAAGCGATGGTTAGAATATGAGGCAAAATCGGGAGTTGTGTTCCTATGGGTTGGATTTTTAATATCAAGTTGGTTTGTTCCTGCTTTTCTTTAGCATGACCTCATTTAGGATGTCAAGGAAAATACTTAATTTTAAGCACATGATAAATGATAATCTTCATAACAGAAGTAGAGTGGAACTACTACTTAAAACTAGAAATTAATTGAATTTACTTAATATGTAAGTAGTTTATTAATATATGTTTACTTTGTTTTGTCCAGTGCTTTGCTGTCTGTATATGAGATAGCAACAAAAGCTTAAATAATGTTATTTCTGCACTGTGAAGGTTTCTCCACAAGAGGCTGCCATAACACTGTGTGATTGCAGTGATTCTCTGAGATATTCCTGGTACACCCACAGTGACAGCCAGGCAGCTGCATGTGCTCCTGTCTGCACGAGTTTTTCCAGGTTCTCCTTGATTGTCAGTGAAAGTAGATCACTTGCCTCTAATTTGTGTTTCCTTAGATGTTGTGTAAACATCTTGCTACCATTTCTTATATCTGCACTTGTAATTAAGTCTTGTTCAATCAAATCAGGTCGCATGAGGGGTTCCCTGGTTACTCTACAGAAATTAGTTCAGCTGTTTCCCAGTGAGACTTCATTCAAGAATGACCTTGGTGTTGGTTACCTCTTGATAGGAGATAACAGCAATGCTAAGAAAGTATATGAAGAGGTGAGTTTCCATTCCAGCCAAGGAAAATTATTATTTACATTCGTATGTCAATTTGGAAGATTGATTGATTTTAACTTTTTTAGTTGTTAAACATGTCACATGTGAGATTTTTGAAGGGTTAATACAGATACAATTTTTTTTCTAGTGCAGTTATCTTCTAATTTTAATTTATATTTTCTGGTACTGTCATGCTAAGTTTTTCTTCATTGACAGAAAAGTACAGGTCATTTCCATATTCTTAATAATAAAAAATCTTCTGTCATCTGGCAGTCAGGTCTGGAATATATTGACAACACATCTAGGTGTGTTGTATGTTACATGTAATACGTAATGCATACTATAAAAAATGATAACCAATCGTCAACACAAGGAAAGCAGAAGTAAGCCAGTTTCTTTACAGGAACATTTCAAACCATGTAATCAAGTAGATCAGATCTCACAAAGCTGTTTTACCTTAGTTTTTTCATCTTTTTATAAGCAGCTTAAAAATCTGGTTTTTTCCATGATGTTTGTAGTGTGGGCAATTCATAGGATTTATATTTCTGTCTTACACTGTGATTATCTGGCTGAGGAAACTTCACAGCCAGGAAAGGCCACTCTGCTCCTGTGATCTAGAAACCCTGTTAACATCTGGAAACTGTCTGACAGATGTGGAGTCTGACATCATTGGTAGAGCACAAATCATCACACCTGACCAGGAATGGTCCTGTTGATGTTGGCACACGGGTGGTGCTTGTGTAGGACAGGCTTGCTAATTGTCTGGTTGTGGAGGCTGGAAAGGGATCAGCAGGATTAGTGCCACCTCCTGAGAATAAAGGCTCGATTTTCCATCCCCCACATCTGGGAGGCTGAAGAGATTCTCATCTCTGATAGCTTCTCAAAGAGAAGGAGGACGTTCAACCACATGGTTGGAAGCAGAAGCCAAACACTAGAAATACCATTTTTTTTTCTCAAGCTCCTCTGGTAGTCTTAGATGTTGCCGGAATAATGTTTGCTTTTCTGCTTTGGCTACTTTTTAGGTCCTTCCATAAAACATTTCTGTCCAATAACTTTTGGTTCGCTGTAAGAATTTCTCAGAGGATTGGAAATACTGGCTTTTAAAGATAGAATTTATTAAACAAACCTGCTACTCAAGCTGCAAGGAGTTTGAGAAAACAGAAACATACTCCTTTTGGGCAAGATTTTCCATGCAATTATTCAGTGTTTTTTTGCAAGCAACATAAGTGTTAGAATTTCTCAATAATCACAGGGATTTTTATACTTGGGGGAAGGTCATTAATTTGCTATATAATTACTTTGATACTGAGTGTTATATACTTCAGAAGAAATACATAGGGTTCTGATTAAGAATAGGTATGCAACTGGTGTGCTTTTAACATATTGTTTTCCATTCTTCTTTATCCAGTGTAATTACTGTGTTTTGCAGTTCACTAACACTGAAATAGAATAGAGCACAGTGATGTTCTATCATTGTAAAAGGAGGACAAATAATTTTTTTAAGGATTTGGATTAATTTTTAAAAAAAATTATGGTGGGTTTGTCCATATTTTAGATATTACTCAGGCTGAATTCCAGCACAATAATGTAATTTTTTGGTTGTAATTCAGGATAAGTTTACACTAAGGATTTTAAGAAAGAATACCCAAAGAAACAGGGAGAATCTCATGCGTACCTTCTTTAGTTCTTGGTTCTGCTGAAGGCTTCTTGCATGATTTTTGGAAGATTGCTTAGGGGCTACATGGCCTGCTCTGGAATGTTTTGCTCAGCTGTTGCAAGGCATATTTAGAAAGTGCTTTGTTTTGAGCTCGTACCATAGTTACTCAGGTTCTCTGCATGGTAGAGAAAGGGGCAGAATGAAGAGTGGTTCTGAGAGCCTCAAGGAGACGTCTTTCTCTTGCCATGATTTTTTAAAAAGCTGGGAAACTTCTGCAGTGTGACTAATTCCTTCTCACTTGTGTAATCTTTTGATACAAAAATGTTAAGAGAGCACAGACAAGAGCGTGAACTCATTGCTGCAAAGTAGATGCCTCCAATATTTATGAATCCTGTGTTCTGTTTCCCAGTGTAAGGATGTTTGTGCATTTTACTCAAGTGTTCTTTAATGCAGAAAGCACTGGCATCTTAGATTTCAGTACACATTCTCAAGAGATCATACCCCTCATTCAACTTAAAATCTCAGCTTTTTGTTGATTTCCCTCTAGCCTTACACATGGTTGTCTAAATTCCTGTGTATGTGGTACTTACTTCTGCTGCTCAGGAAAACTCCCAAGTAGTTAAACACTCTTCTCTGCAGAGGAACTTAAACTCCAAATTTCCCATTTCCTGGGAAGCTGCTAGATTCATGGGAAAAATCTTTACTTCCTGCTGTAGCATTTCAATCTCCATTCAGTGTCACTGATCTGTGTTAAGCATGAGCACATGCAACCAGACCCATCACAGGCACTGTTCTCTACATGGGATCATGTAGAGAACCAGACTAGCCAGACCAACTAACCTGAGCTTGCATCATCTCCAAGGAATTGAATAGAAGCCCAGGGAATCCTGGTAGATGAAAACTTCCTGCTTTTGCTTCACATTTAATAGCCAGTTTGGTTATTTTCCAGTCAATTCTTATTTTTCTTTCCAATTTTGTTACATCTTAGCAGCTTATTTTAAAAGTCCTTAATATATGGGGGTTTTTTTTTAATTACAGAAGCAATGTGTATAAACACTGAACTTCACACCAAGAGAGTTTTTTGCTTCCAACTGCTGTGTGGTGTGGTATAGTATAACTTGCCCAAAATACACTTTCCTAGTTTGTGTTTGCCAGAGTTTTTTGATGAACCTCATATGGAAAATGGTGTCCAGCTGGAGGGGATTTCAGTTTTGTTTCTAATATTAAATAATTTTCTTTTGAATATTGAACTTGGAGACATGGAAACATAACATTAAGGGTAATCCTAGTAGAATTCAGAGCTACTTCTATTTTCAAAGAGAACATAACTTCAAAAGTAGTCCGGGTAGAATTAGAAGTATTTTTGGTTCAAACATCCACAGATTATAAAAAAAGACAATGAAAGAGAACTTTGTAAGACTGGTTACCCTTTTTCTGCCTCCATGCTAAGGCAGGTGTGCATGGTTCAGTGCCATGCACAGCATCAGAGAGACAGACTGATTATAAAAAAAGACAATGAAAGAGAACTTTGTAAGACTGGTTACCCTTTTTCTGCCTCCATGCTGAGGCATGTGTGCATGGTTCAGTGCAGCATCAGAGAGACAGGCGTAAGCCAGCTCTGATTGAGCTATCTCAGGTACCAAAACCAGAATATCCACATTAACACAGTGCTCTGCCATAGCTAATTAGTCTCTGATAGCCCCAGAGGTTAATTTCTATATTCATGATTAATATTTAATGGGCTATGAGCAGTTTAGTAAAACTTATTTCTAAACATAATTAATATTGCACACAGCAACAGCAACGTAGTAATACAATTTACATTAAATACTTCCAGTGTAATTTCTGCTGATTGTATCTCTTTGCTTCTCTTTAGGGGCTCTGAATGTAGATCATTCCTTAATGCAACTCGGCATAGTTTAAATGAACCGTAATACAGAAAATTCTATTCTGTCTTAATTAATCAGATAGCTTTGTCCTATAGTTAAAGAAACTGTAACAAAATTATGTGGCTAATAAATATTTCTGTCAGTCATTTCATTTCACCCTGCAGGTACAGATTCTTGGATCAAAATAATTATACATAGAATCCTGTAGTCAAAAGGCATAAGATGCAGAAGGTGGTAGTGTAGTCTTATACTAGGGATAATGCTCATCCTTACTGTGGTACTTTTTCCTAATAATTTCCTAATAATGTCTCATACTATGGACTTCCAATAGACTCTCACGTTGTTTGTTCCTTCATAATAAGTATTTTCTGTGCAAAGAAGTAAAATGTTGCTATTTTTAACTCATAACATTTCGTACCTTCATGGCTGTGGTTTTTGGTTTTGCTTGGATGTAGTTGGTGTGTTTAAGATTTGAGAAAAGAGAGAAATTGGTCCAGAAAACTTCTTATGATTTTACTTGTAATTATTTTGATTGAAAAGTGATCTCAGACAATGACTAGAAAAAGCAGAGGGAAATAACTATAGTGTATGCAGGCATTTTATTCATGGCATAGGTTTAGTAGCTTCAAAAATGGATTTAGGCAAGAGAAATTGCTCATCTACCTGTTGTTTTGTATTTAGCAACTGTCTAGACATTCAGTGGTTATCAACCTCTGTAATTCCACTGCCTGCCAGGCTCCTGTGATGATCCTCACAGGCTGAGGGTCTATCCTGATAAGACTGTCCACCCTTATTTTAAGGAAAGAGGAGGTGTAAAAACAGATTAACTTAACCATGTAATTGATATTGCATACAGCTACAAATTATATCGATTATGTACATCATAGAAATGCAGAGCTGAAAAATAGATCAAGACATTCTCTCTAATTTTTGCCCTTGGCTGAGGCAGACCAAATGAACTTAAATTAGCTGACTGGTGTTGGGGGTGCATGTTTCAGGACTCAGGTTGGCAGCTTCACATCTCCTTCCCCTGAAACACTGCCCCATATACTGATCCTTTCCTACAGCTGTCCCTGTACCCACAAATGGTTCTCTTCCACATTCCCCCTGAAATATCCATCTCTGGACATTTGCCCATGAGTTTCTCTTTTCTGCAAATTAAGCTAGTTTGTAAACTCAGATATGATCTGAATCTTGTTGAGGGTACAAAATCTTTTAGCTGAATTTAGCATGTTTGGTCTTGGTCAGAGTCCAGCACACAGCTACACAAGAATAATTTATCCATCAGCTTCTAGTGTGAAAGCACACTGAGTCACTACTGCAGTAGACTTTTTATTACCTTCTTTCTCATGGCCAGAAAAGTGCACACTGTTCCAGAGAGTGCTCCAGTTCACCACTGTGCTGAGAGTGCCCTTGGTGTTCCAGGGTTTGCACATTCCCATCTCACAATGCTGGCATTACATTACAGCTTCTTTCTAAATAACAGTCATTATGTTTCATGTATTTTCCTTTGCAAAAACTTGTTTGCCACCATTGGAAATCTGTCTAATTTAAAACTATTTCAGGTATGTTTCTGCTGCAGCATTTTTCATGAGTAGCTGCTTTCCTTCTGATTAGTCAAACATGGAATAAATAACTTAATTGTTAATAGTGGGTTTCATTCTGTAATGTAGAGTGCTGCAGCTCAAGAGAGGAGTGTAGGAAAGGACAGAGAAGTGAAAAATAAAGCAATTTCTGTTGAAATAATTTTACTTCTGAGACTCGAAAGTTTGGCTCATCTGGAGAAAGCACAAAAGTGAATGAGGAAAAGAAAGCACAGACAAGCCAAGGGTTTACCCGAGAATCAGTAATGGAAGAAAATACCATTGCATTACTAAATAGTATTATGTACCCAGGTCTGTTAATTTGCATAGATTCATACAGGTATATTTAATTCATTTTCTCTCAATCAGGTTCTAAGTCTGGCTCCAAATGATGGCTTTGCCAAAGTACATTATGGCTTTATCCTGAAGGCAGAAAACAAGATAGCAGAGAGCATACCTTATCTACAGGTACTTTATCACCCACAGTGAATGTTTTACCAGCAAAAGGTAGAATTGGAATGCATTAAATGTGTCAGTCTAGAAGTGTACTAATTATAAATCACTGCTTAAGCTATTTGTTGGAGTTATACTAGTGTATCGCTGCTTATGAACTGAAATTTGAATTATGAAATTTGTACATTGAAAACCATCGATCTTTAAACATCAAGTATTTGTTTTATTAATGGTTAACCCAAAGGTCTCTGAGCCTTAAATTTTTTCAGGTCAGTAGTATGCTGCAAGCCTAAGGGTCTTGAAAGATCCAGATAAGCCTTATGTATAATTCTGAGTGTTTGGGAAGAAATACTACAAAATAAAACCTTGATCCAGCTCTATAAAATGCTTGTGTATATGTTTATAGGGTCAGGGGCAATTATCCATCTCTGAATATGCCTCTATCTTGGGGGGATTGAAGGGAGAAGCTGTGAGATTTGGAAAACTGGTAAAATTTCTCAATTACTTTCTACTGACATATTATATTTATTCAGCTTAAGTTCCAGGTTAGCATGGTGGTTACATTTTTACCTAATTTCATAGCCTGTCTCTTGCACAGGATTGACAGACTATTTACAGCAATTAAATGAATTATTTTAGATGTCCTGTTGAAATTTACTTATACCTTTTATATTTATTTATTTTTTTTTTATGTAATTTTTAGGAAGGACTGGAGTCTGGTGACCCTGGCACAGATGATGGACGTTTTTATTTTCATCTGGGTGACGCATTACAGAGAATGGGAGACAAAGAGGTACAAGTTTAATCTGTTCTTGGTTTAAAATCTAAATCTGTGAGTGGCTGTAAAATCCAGAAGAGCGTTTAATGATGGGCTTAATGGTGAAAACAAGAGTAGTCCGACTGCAACAACAATCCAGCACATGTGTGTAGAAGTCAAGATGATCAACAGCAAAATTCCGTTGTAGGCATTGCAATATAATCTCTTAGCATCCCTTGCTTTAGATTTAACTGAAGATGTTTAAGCTGGCATAGGGCAGCTTGAAACAAGGGGCTAAAAATTTACATGAATTTTAAATGTTTCTAGAATCTGTTTTTTGCTTATATCACAACACAAATTTAAATGAGAGTAAAAAGAATCAGTTACATGTATATTACTGAATAGAAGTCTTTGTATAACACTGTTTTGTAAATCTTCCGTTCTTTCCAAGGAAAAGCACCAATGAGTATGTGACAAAAGAGGATCATGAGAGGACTGAATGAATTGGCTGAGTTATGAAATTTTTTCAGTAACTAAATTAGCAAATCATTCAGGAAAACAGAGCTTTTTACTATGTGTCTGTTGAGTTCCCAACAAAAACAAACATATGATACTAGAAGCCATAAGAGTTTCTCTTTTGTGTATTTGAAATCAAATTTTACTTAAAAGCGAAATTTAAATGTATGACTTTTCACTACGGTCATGGAAGGGGAGCAAAAGACCTTTTTTGAAGACTCTGATTAGTCATGTACTTTAATAAGGGAATGAATTTAAAAACAACAGCAAACAAATTTCCAATTCCTAGTGGGAAATACGAAGAGAATAAGCACTAAAAATCACAGTAGAAATAGCCATGAAAATCACTGCTTTTTAATTACTTACCCAGTAATACGTGCAATATTAATACCTAAAAAAACTGTAAAACATGCTGACCCCTTTAGTGCTGTGGCCCAGTCAATAGGTGGTTCTCCAGTATGATCTGTAGACAAGTGGGCTGTGATGAAGCCTCTGTGTGTGATCTTTCTCAAGCCTAGTCCATCAGGTTACTCTTTCTTTTAATAAGTCATGGAACTTTCATTACAATACTTTATACATACAGTAGATCTAGAATGTAATATCTGAGCTTTAAGCTAGATTACCTTCCCTCACTACTCTTCCAATTACTTTTTTTTAATTGTTCATTTATAAATGAGAATTAGTTTACTTCAATTTACTTAGAAACACATGCACACACAGAGTCTGCTTTCACACTCTAACTCTGTCTCCTTCTCTCAAATCCCTGTACATTTCCAGGGGACATTCAGGGTTGAGTTGTTGAGCATAGAACATCCCATTGCCATGCTTGACTGAAGATATCACACAGATGTAATTAATACAGCATCTCTAACCCCAGGATAATGATGTGTTAATGTTTATGAAGTTGATGGCCAAATCTGCTGTAGAAAAAATTTAATTAATGACAAATGAACTTCTTGGGATAGAGGAGACTTCTAAATATATCAGTGGAAAGTCCATTATTCAGCTAAATTTTTCTCACTGACCTTGCTAGACTTGCTGAATTTCAAGATTTAATCAAGGAAATAGATCAATATTTAAGTTAGATGTGAAATTGCTATCACAGAAGGTTTGTTGAAGGGAGATATTCATCTATTAGAGCTAAATCAGGAGTTATGAATGTGGCCTTGGAAAATGTTAGAGGAACAGTATTGAGTAATTTGCAACTATAATTTGATAAAATACCATATTGGCTTAAGAAAAGAGAAATTAAAACCGTGGAAGTTGTTACACAACAAAGCACTCTTCACACAGAATGTATAAACTGGGTGCATCTCAAACAATTTCTGTCCTGGAAAAGTGAGATGCACTGTCGTAGCTTCCCATGTTCACCTGCCAAGACCTGCATGAGAAAATAAATGGTTCTCACAGAGTCTTGGGAATGGAAAGGATGACTGAGGCAGCCTAACCCTATTCCATCCTGGTAAAGGCAATTTCCATAGCACAATACTTGTAATAAATAAAAATTAATTGTATTATACATCGTCATAATAGTTGATGTATCTTAAAGAGCAGCATCATTCATACTCATTGCTCAGGGTCTGAAACAAATAACTCATTCCCCTTATCACTTGGGCTAAGTCCAGACATTGCAATTGAGTGCAGTCAGTCAGCATGAACCATCTATTGATATCTCACTGGTATTTTAACTTTGGGGAACAAATGTTATAAATCCTAATGCTTCCATTTCAGACAGTTAACCAAAATGACATCAACATTTAAAGATATACTGTGTATTACCTTTGTGTATTACCTTATTATTTTTTTGACCCATGCACAATTTTACTGAGCTTCTCTAGGGAGAAAAAGATGATAGTTTATATATCATCTGCTGTTATTCTGTTCATCCACACTATTGTGTACTTCAAATAAATACTGTAGGGCAACAGCATATTGCAGACTTTGCTCCATACTTTGGGAGAGTTATAAAGATCAGAGTACCACAATTTTCAAAAGCTTTCTTCAAGTTTACAGACTCTCAACAAGGACATTTGCCAGTTTCTGTTCAAGGCAGGGATTGCTGCCTGCCTCAGCCCTTCTGCTCTGGAATTATTGTTCTTATTTTTCCCTATTTAGCTGTCCTTTTTTTTTAGTTTGTTTTGGTTTTTTTTTTGCGGGGGGAGTGTTGTTTCTTTTTTTGTTTATTGAGGGATCTTTTTAAATTATGTTGTCTGAAATATTGCAGCTGTAGCAGCAATATTGGGCAGGAAGGAGGCAGCTCTGTATAACTTTCTCTGCCTATGGTTTCTCACAGTACTAAAAATGCTGGGTCTTTTCTTTCCAAACATCTCATTTTCTTTCTTTGCTTTTTTTTGCTGCTATGCAAGTCGGGTAAAGGGAGAGTAAAGACAAAGGTCCAGTATTAACTTCAGCAGGTTTCTGAAGAGGCAGCTCTGTATAACTTTCTCTGCCTATGGTTTCTCACAGTACTACAAATGCTGGGTCTTTTCTTTCCAAGCATCTCATTTTTTTCTTTGCTTTTTTTGCTGCTGTGCAGGGGTAAAACAAGTTGTGTAAAGGGAGAGTAAAGACAAGCAGAGGTCCAGTATTAACTTCATGTGATCCATTTTGGTGTGGCAAAACACATTTGAAGAAACTCAAGTGCATTTAAGTATTAGATAATTAACACTTGAAGTCATCATTGTTTTCATCATCACAGCATCTCCACTGGCAGCAGAAGACAGTCTTCTTTCACTTGTAGGTAGAGGATTGAAACTGAGAAAATTAAATTGAATAAGATGAGAAACAACTGGATATTCCAAGTCCATGGACAGGCCCATATTTGATCTGGATGGGTGTGAGAAGATTATCCTGTTTTGTTAATGTTGGACTGGACTTTCTTGGCCAACGGATCTATTTTGTTATTTGGGTTTTTTTGTTTGTTTGTGTTTTTGTTTTTTTCTTAAAGAATTCATTAGTGCATTTTATTAAAAGTGAGAAGATTATCCTGTTTTGTTAATGTTGGACTGGACTTTCTTGGCCAACTGATCTATTTTGTTATTTGGTATTTTTGTTTGTTTGTGGGTTTGTTTTTTTGTTTTTTTCCTAAAGAATTCGTTTGTGCATTTTATTAAAATAATAACCCCAAGATCTGAAGAGACAGCCTGCTGCCTTGCCAGGAAGTGTTACTTTTTTCCTGTAGGAGTTTGGCTGATAAGAATTTGGTTGTTTACAACTACAATGTTTTAGGCATACAAGTGGTACGAACTTGGATACCAAAGAGGTCACTTTGCATCAGTTTGGCAGCGCTCCCTCTACAATGTCAAGGGACTGAAAGCTCAGCCCTGGTGGACAGCAAGGGAAACTGGGTATACAGAACTGGTGAAGGTAAGGCTTCATTATACTCATTATACTTTTGTTTTTATTAAAATTACAGCTATAATTTCAGTTATTAAGCAGAGAAAATGCTAATCAATAAGGTCAGAACTATTGACTGTGACACCAGACACCACTGTCAGACTGAGCACAAGAATTAAGTAAGATATTATAAAATAAGCTTGAACATTTTCAAATTTGAGAATGGAGACAGGATGACTGAAATTATTAATAAATACAAAATTTGCATGGTAGACAAATGTAACATCTCAAGTGGAAAATGACAGCACAATTTTGTAATGTCTGGAATACCCATTGTGAATTTTTAATTAGGAAAGGCTGTGCTTTTGAGCCCTTGTGTAATATTTCATGACTTTGGAAGCTTTTAATTGCTTGAGACAAACAAGTGTAGATTCCCAGTGATGGATTTAACAAAAGATAATAATGCAGAATTTAAATTCTTTAAAAGGTTTTTATTTATTTAATGCAAGGCAAGTAGTGTGGTTGTTGTTCATAACAATAGCTTTTATTTCCAAAATTGCATTGTTTTTTTATTAATTTACTACAATTCTAATAATAATTCCTAAAAAATTTGGAAGAGCCTTTTTTCCTGTATGTTTCAATTATTGTGTGGTTTAGAGAAACCATTATAATAAATTATTTAAACCAAAAAAGTGTATTTGTAAGGAACAAATTCCTTCAGAGTGGTTGTTTCTTTATACTTAGTTACATAGCATGTTTAAAAAAACCGCTATGGAATGATGGTTATTTTAAAAAAATAAAAGATATGGAGAAACTGGGAACTTCTTAATTTCAGAGTGGTTGTTTCTTTATACTTAGTTACATAGCATGTTTAAAAAAACCACTCTGGAATGATGGTTATTTAAAAAAAAATAAAAGTAGTTTAAAAAGGAAGACTGCTCTTTGTTATGGTTTTGGTGGCGACAAATATACGGCTAGAAATTTAAATTAAAGTGTGATTCTCCAATATGATCTCAGCCACACCAAAAAGCAGTGATCTTTGTGGACTAGCACATGAAATGTGCTCATATTGAACTAATTCTTGAGGTATTTGGGGAATGGATGCTTCTTGTCATAAAAGATATGGAGAAACTGGGAAGTTCTTAACATGTTTCTGTCAAACAAAAAGGAAATATACATATTATTTGATTGGTGTTTTAGAGCTACATGCAGTGTTGTTTTACAGTTCCTTACATGTAAACCTTTCAAATTCCTATGTCACAGAAGGTAATGATCCATTCACCCTTGGCATGAGTCAGCTTTGAAGGATGAAAGGATTCAGTTGATGTTATAAAATGGCCAGAGCTTCACCTTGAAGGGGAATTTTTCAGATAAATCAGGCTGGATATGGAGGTCTTGGTTTGGATCAGCATCTTGAGTGGCTTCTAGAAGAGCTGCTCAGGAAACCAGCAAGGATAAAAATTTCACCTCTGACCTCCACAGTACAACTGCCTCTCTGGAATTCAATAATACCTTTTCTTTCCCATCATTTGGTGGTACATGTTTATTAGCAATATGTCAGTGAATCTAGATTAAATTGTGACTGGTAAATTACTTGTACAGGTATCATAATTTGGGAGCAGTAAGATCTTTGAGACAACACTCGCAGTTTAAAGAATGAAGGTAAAAAATGTAGTTAGTTATATGCATCAGGACACATATTTGTATTGTTGTTTTTTTTGTAACTCAGGAAAATACTGGAAGTTTTGAAAGAAAGCAGGTTTCATTCTAATTGCTTGCAATGCTGCAAACAAGACTAGAAGTAGTACTCTTCAGGAAGCAGCAAAATATTATTGATGACATTAGTTTTCTAGTTTCTGAAGTACTCCAACTTCTATACATGTTTTAGTTAAAAAAATTATTTCCCTTTCTCACAAAGCAGAAACCAATCAATAGTTAGTTCCTACTGCTTCATTTCATTACATTCCTCTTCTGTCTGTGTGGGAAATGTGGGAAATCACTTCCAAATCACCGTGGTAGGATTCAATATGGACATATAGTGTACACAGCACTGGAGGCCCTGACCCTCTCTCTGAGTTTCACTGCTTGTTAAATGGGAATTAACTATTTTCAATAACTTGGTATCTTAGTAATGCTAACTGAGCATTTATTTGGGCTGGGGCAGTAGTAAGGCTGAACTCTCTTTGGTTCATTCCATTAACCAGCACAGCTGTGGTCAGTGACATCTTACAGCACAGACCTGACTTGATTTTCTTATAAAGGGTCATCTAATTTCTTGGGCCTAGAGATGGAGATGTGAATCTTGACACTGCCTTGCTTCTTCCACAGAAAGTCTAAAGAGAAAATTGGGTTTTTTTCAGTATTCTCAATTTAATAACTTCATTCTGAGGAGCATTAAGCTTAACTAGCTGTAATCCTACAGACTGAGACATACTGTCCATGCTAGTGGCATTGTTTGCAAGTGAAAAAAAAGGGTATTTTCACAGGATGATTCATTTTTACAATGCTAAATAACTGTCTAAGCATGGCATGTCTCCTTTTATGGTGTTAACTCTCCTACTGCTTTACTTAAAAAATGGGTCCTGATGCTTAACTTCCTGATGGGTAAGGTGAAAAAAGACAATCTCATACTTTATCTCTTTTAATATTACCTGCTTGCCTGGATGTCTTAAAGAAGAGGGTTTTGGGCTGGGGTTTTTTTGTGGGGGGAGGTGGGGAAGACTGAGAATCTCAGTAACACTTATCAGGACATTGTAGATCTTAATTAGTGGAACTATGCTGAAGGGAAGTGGAGTTTTGACTCTCTCTGCAGCTCACTGAGGCTTAATGTTTTTCTTTGAAAGAATAGGGAGAGGCACCTGATTTCTCAGGAGAAGAAAATATAAACCTTTATATTAGGAAGGATGTGGTGAGTGACTTATGTAGAGATGTTCTGCTAATGTTTCTGATTTACAGGTATTTTAGGCCTTTGGACCTGGGAATTCAAGAAACTGTCTTCCTCTTTTGACCTCAGCTGAAAGGAAACCTTACTTTCATCTTTAAAAGCCCATCCTTTTCCTTCGGGATGATTAGCTTTCCTCAGCCAGTCTTACTGAGTCATTGCATCTTTCTCCAGTACCTTCTGTAGAACCTAATTTATAGCATTATTCTATTCTGGTGCTCATGTAAAAAATAGTGAAAGAGATACAATGGTGTTGGATCCTAGAGACTTTCCACTGATCTGAAATTAATATGTAGGCAATGACTTAATTAACTTTGTCCTTTCTAGTTGTGTCCTTTGACATTTGGAAAGGACCCAGATGATGCTTTGCCAATAATTTACTACAATTTACTGATATAAATTTTATTATATAAATTTTCAAGTGCACCAAGAAAAGTGCAGAAAGACAATAAAAGTATTGGCAGCAGCACATATCTTTATAGTTTTCCATAGGTTGACAGCTGGGCCTTAATGGTTTAGGTAATAATAGCTAAACATTCATAGTCAAGGGAGAAATTAAATTGAAATGTGTATTTAAAGTGTGGTTGGATGCTTTAAGGGGAGCATGTGTTGAAAGGAGAAAAGATGATGCATACAGGTGCTGATGTTTAAGCTCTCTGAGTGACTGAATGGGTGCAAGGAATCTATTTTTAACCCCTTGCTCGGAGGTTATCAGCGTTACCCAGTGGAGATGTGGAAACTGATTGTGAATGCTTTCCTATTCTGTTTCCATAACAAAGTGAAGTACATTAAACTCTTCACCACAATTTTATTTTATAGTTCAGTGAATTAAAATGGATGTGTGGTCAGTAGTTATGCCTCACATGAGGGGTAGCCACCTCTTAATCTCTTCCTGTGTCATTTATAACCACACTTTGAAAGGGTTTGACAGCACAGAGCAAGGATACTTTCAATGTAATAGTCTCACATAAAAACCTCCAATATTAAACAATCCCTATTTAAATAAAATCTACATTATTGCCAGATGTACAGCAACTGTAAACTTCAATTGTTATTAGAAACTGTATTTAAAAAGCCATATGGAGGTTTATGGGAATCAGCTGCTAGAAAACAAGTACATATGCTCCCAGCGCTTGTTGCCTCCTGGTTTTTCAGTTGTAATCAGGATATTGCACCAAATATTAATTTAATGCTCTAACCTGGAGCTTGAGGAAGCACAGAAGAACTTGTCATATCTTTTAAACTTTTCCAGTTTTATTGCTCTATATCACTTTAAATTGAGGCTGGTGTGAGTGTAGGTTATTCTTTTCTTTCTCTTCTCCAGCCAGTGCAAAACCAAGTACTCAAGCTGGCATTTCCTTTTGTAGATAGGGTAGTGCTGAATGAGTAGCAGCACTATTCTCATATACATCTCTGATAAGGTGGAAATTTTCAGTCTTTTTTTTGTACACTTACACTTTTTGGAAAAGTCAGTTTTCCAAAGATATTCTAAAGAAAAAAAACAACCCCAAAACAACCCTCTGCATTTTTACTTAATGCTAACTGTTAAATGAGTGTTATAGAAACCATCAATGAGGGAGAATAATGTGAATACACTAGGAAAAATAAGTGTTCTTCCCCATTTTTTTGATAGGTGAAAGAAAAACCCAATGTGTTATGATAGAGATTACAGTAATAACAGAAGTGAAATTCATATTTTCATACATTTTAGCCTAGCTAAAATTGTTCTAGTGGGAGAAAGTAGCTGTATTATAGACAACATGTTCTACCCAAAGTTTGCTTTGTTGAGCCTTTTATGATCTAACAATACAAAACAATTTTGTCAGATCAACTTTTCCTTTAAGTAAAAAAAAAACTCAAGTGGAAAATGCAACTGTTTAATTTACATGAGGATGGCTAATAAACATATGACGTTTCAAGACTAAAAGGGGGCGCTTATATCACTTAGCACCTATATCACCTTTTCCAAAATGCAACTGTTTAATTTACATGAGGATGGCTAATAAACATATGAAGTTTCAAGACTAAAAGGGGGCACTTAGCACCTATATCACCTTTTCTTCATCATATAAGGAGGTAGTGTGGGAACATACTTATTTCATAACCATAGCTTATTTCAGTGTGAAATGGATTGAAAATGTCTTACAGAAATGCATTGTTCAAGAGCACAAAGGAAAAATGAAAACTATTCACTCAAAATAAGGTTTAGTGAGAAAAGTAAGCTGTTGGGAAATTGAAGTTACTTTTATACAGATCCATTGTTATACTGTGGGTTTTCCATTTATATTGCTATGACATTAAAATTACTTATTATTGGTAGAATAAAAGGTTTTCTAAGCTATCTGATTTCTCCAAATACAATGTCCTAAGGCAGCAGAGAACAGAAATTTTAATTCTGCTATTTTGTGGCTTTGTATGTATGAAGTGTAAGGCAGCTCATACATTCTCAATTGTTGTGTCCATATATGATCACATGGCATTTCAAGTTGTATATGACTTTTGCAATAGCATCAACACATGCAAGTCAATCTCAGCAAGCCTTTTTGAAGGTTTCAGTCATAGAGTTCAACTCAAGTGGTGTGTTTAAATTTAGCCTCTTTGGTCTGTAATATTCTGCAAACACCTGGAGTTCCAGGTTATATAAGTGGTTTTCCAGTTGCCAGAATTCCAGGTCACATGCACAGCATTTAGGAAGATCAATACATTTAGCTTGCAATACAAAATGATCACTTAAAGAGCCCTTAGCTCATCAAAAAGCAAGTCAAAGTGAGGCCTGGTCTGCAAAGAGGCTGGCTATTGTTGAAATCGTACAATCCCAATGTAGCTGAATCTGAAGAGTAGTGTGAAAGTTATTTTTCGTGCCTTAATATGTCAGAAGGGAATAGAATTTAAAGCAACTTGATAATAACGACAAACACTTTCTTTTATTGCTTTTAAATATATAAAAAAAGCTAGTAATGGTGGGAAAAAATAAAAATGGTACTCAAGCCAAACACAGTAATTTCTTAGTGCAGTAACATGGCTCTCACAACAGTCCTTAGAGAAAAACTGGAAGCTCATTCGTGATGAGGGTCTTGCTGTGATGGATAAAAAACAAAGCCTCTTCCTGCCTGAAGATGAGAACCTACGGGAGAAAGGAGACTGGAGCCAGTTTACCTTATGGCAACAAGGTAAAACATTCCATATTTCTTCTATTACCTCAATTTCATTATCCCAGATTAACATAGTGTAATAAGGGGTATCAACACAGCTTTTTCTAGAACTGTTTTTGTAATCAGTGTGTACAGAGGAAGGGAGCTGATAAAACAATGTTCAGGACCCCTGTGACAATGAGCAGGAGTACTTCATTCTAAACCACACTGTCCCCAATACCTCTAAGGGTCCCTTGAGTATGGTAACTGTTCAGTGAGTGTACTCCTCTTCTGGCAAGGCTGCCAACTCTTTACCTGGTAATGCATAGTACAGATCAGCCTGAGGGAAGGAAGATGGGGACCTGGGAGAAGGCACATCCTCAGTTCTGTGTTGGCAGCTAGGGGAGCTCTGCCGTTCAGAAACAGTATGAGCAAAAGAATATGACTTTAATATGCCTGCTGCCCTGCCCCTGAGCTGTGTACTGGGTGGCCCAAATCTTGGAATGACCTTAAATTCTTATGAAACTCCACATATGAAGGAGTACTGAAAAATAAAATATTAAAAGCCAATTTATATAAAAATATAATCTGGTGTTGAAATTTTATTATACTGGGAGCATTTTAAATAGTTTTTTTCCTATGCACCCACATAAGTGATTATACGTTTAAAATAACACTTTTTTTAAATTGTAGAAAGCCTGGTGTTCACAAATAATGTAAAAGTAAAATGAGTAGGCTGCTATGATATTACAACATGGAGGTACTTAGGCTGCACAGTCTATAAAATGAGAGCAGTAATATTTACCTGTCTCTCAGTGTCAGGTCTTTGGCAGCTTTGCTGCTCTTCTGCAAAGCAGAAAATGGAAATGTTCTTTCATTGCTCTTACCAATGCTCTATCCATTATTTTCACTAGGAAGAAAAAATGAGAATGCTTGTAAAAGTGTTCCGAAAACATGTGCTTTATTGGAAAGATTCCCAGAAGCTACTGGCTGCAGAAGAGGACAGGTACCTGGCAAACTTCTTCATTTTTGCAATTTCTTAATGCTGGGAGCAGGTGATTTTGAGGAATAGAGGGATATGTATAGAGGAATGCACAATTTTGGTATATTTAATGATGCCTCAAGCACATGATAAACTTAACAATAAAAGTATGCCCTATTTTAACTATCAGCAAATACCAGGTGAAATATGTTAGCTGAAGCCTTTCTCTGGACTCTTTAGTTGAGCCATTTTACCTTGTGTTTCCTGGGAGCTCATGTAATTAGTTATTTGCCATGGGTCAACCAATAAGTAATGCCTTACTGAACCTCAGCCTGAAGTGACCTGATCTGACTCACAGCCTAACTCTGCTTTGAGCAGGAGGTTGGATTAGGTCCTTTGTAGCCTGAGCTTTATTTTCTGATCTAAAGCTAACTTTACATAACTAATTTCATGAGCCAGATTCCACTGTGATAAACTTCACCTGTCTACCCCAGCCTGGCTGTGTTAGACAGAGGGAGAATCACCTTGTGGAAGCCAAAGAGTGCTGCTACATGCTTATTTCCTGAAGATGAAGGAAAACATTTTATATCCATGAGTGTGAGCACCAACAAAATTTGTTTCAAGTGCCTACCATGACTATTCAGCTATCAGTAAACCTCATTTAATCATTCAGTAGACTTGTATGGGTCAATACACATGCAGTGGCTCTGTAGAACATAAGTTTTCATTTTTTCCAAGTTATTATATTTTGTCTACATTGACTACTGAGAATATCCTTCACATGGCAAAATTAAGGATGCAGAAGTTGAAAAGCACAGTGCTAATGTAGCTCTAATTCAGACCCTTGAGTGTATGTGTTCATCTTTTTGACCAGTCCCTTGCTTTTGATGTGCAGAACTACACTGGGTGGCTACTGCTGTGGAAATGAACAAAGCTGTTGTTCCATGATTGGTTGCTAAGGCAGGTTATAGTGAATATAACTGATGAGAAGTCATCACACTCGATGTGGCTACAAGAAAACTTCTCTCAGTTGCATCCAGAGCCAAAGTGGATCCGTCCCTGAGAGCAGATTCTGTTTGGGAGCTACTGTTTTGTTCATCATTTCTTGGTGCCCTACATGTTATCACCATGATATGGTTTGCAGAGGTGTTGTATATTTACAGCTGTAGCTGTAGTCACAGGTTTTGAACATATAAATGTAAAATGATCTGAAAAGTCGTGCTCTAGAAGTCTAAAGTTTTACATCCACTAGTATGAGATACCTAGGGCAATTTTAGGTTTTTGCTAGCCATGACTCAGATGTTACTGCTAAAATAAACTTAAAATATCAGCTGATCCCTAGTCACATATGGAAGCACTGGTTAAGCAATGGGAACAAACACAATCAGGAAATAAGGAATTCTGTGGTGGATAGACTATTTGGATGCTTTGATTACCTCATGTAGTGACAAAGATAAATGAAATGTAAAATAATCAACTACCTGCTCAGTGCTGCTGAGACACTGTATTGAACAATAGGAAGTGATCAAAATTGTAGCATTCTTCCTTAAAATAGCAGTAAACTAAAGGTATCACAGTATCTGGACATTTCTTACATTGCAGCCATAGTACAACTCACTGGTAGTTCAGAACAATTTACCAATAGCCCTTGAGCATGGCAAGAGATCTAATTCACAGACATATCCAGACTGATCTGCATGGGCAGATAATGTACATGCCAGGAATCAATCTTCAGTGCTGACATATTAGCAGTACAGAAGTTGTTTAGCTCAAATATTAGTAAATGTCCTGCATCACCAGTTGCTTGCATTGTGTTAGGGTCTAACACATCACAGTGTAGCAGAGTTGGGTGGGAGGATCTGTGTTCACCACAGCCACTGGTGCTCATCACTTGCCGTCATAAGAAACTGCCAGTAAGCTGAAACCTCAGTTTAGAGACACAAAAAACCTTCAGTCAAGAGGCACACGCTGTCTTCTGCTGGTTCTGTTAACAGCTGAAGAGCATGAAATACCTTAATCTGTAAGATTTATCAAAACTACTCTGTCCCAGCCAAATGTGCAGGTTTCTCAGTTGAAAAGGTGCTTCTCATCACTGTCATGCATTATTCATGTTTCCTGTACCCTGATTTGTTGTAGAATGAATCAAAAAGGTCAAGGTGAGAAGGGACATGTGGAGATTACCCTTGCTTAAACTATGATGAATTGAGCATGTTGCTATGTTCAGCCAGCTTTTGAATGCCTCTGAGGATAGAGACTCTATTGCCTCTCTGGGCAACCTGTTCCTGTGTACAGTAAAAAAAGCGTTTCTTTATGCTTAAATGGCATTTCCTGTGTTTCAATCTGTGTCCATTGCCTCTTTGCCTTTCCCTGGATGCCATTGAGAAGAGCCTGCCTCTGCCTTCCTCACTCCTCTCATCAGGTATTTAAATGCATTGATAAGATCCTTCCTTGAACCTTATGTTCTCCAGGCTGAACAGTCCCAACTACCTCTGCTTCCCCTTGTATGTTAGATTCTCCCATCCCTTAATCCCCTTTATACCTCTTCACCTGCTCCAGTTTGTCCCTGTCTCTCTCACAGTAGGTAGCACAGAACTGGGTCCAACATTTAAGACATCTCATGAACTCTTAGAGGAATGATAGCCTCCTTCAATGGGCTGCCAGAGCTCTCCATAAGGCAGCCCTGGAAGCTGTTGGTGTCTCTGCTGCAATGCTGGTTCCTGTTTAATTTGGGCACTGTGAGGACCCCACAGTCTCTTTCTAGAAAGTTGCTTTCCAGACAGTTGTCCATCAGCCTGTATTGGTGTATGTGTCCCTAGTGCAGAATTTTATGCTGCTTTTTGTCAAATATTTTAAGGGTTGTGTTTCGTCCTTTCTCCATCCTGCCAAAGTCTTTATGAAAGGCAGAAAAAAAAAAGTAGTGTGTTGACCATTCCTATTCAATTTTCTATCATCTGGAAACTTGCTGAGGGAGATGCACTCTGTCCCATCTTCTGAGTCACTGTGAAGCTCTTAAACAGTGCTGGACCCACTACTGAGCCCTGGGATGCACCTCTGATGACTGGCCTTCAGCTGGACTTTTGCCTCTGATTATAACTTGTTGAGCCTGGCTTAAATGCCAGGTTTCAATCCTCTTCACTGGGAATTTATCTAGATTCTATTTCCTCACTTTGTTGATTAGGATGTTTATGGCAGACTGTTCAAAGACTTAGTGTTGAGATAAACAATATCCACCAAGCTAGAGACCTCACTGCAGAAAGCTGGTTAAGTACAGAATCCCCTTCAAAAAGCCATACTGGCTACACCCAGGTACATTTTTTTCCTTTATGTGTTTGGAAATTGTTTCCAGGATTTCTTGCTCCATCACCTTTCCAAGGGCTGAGGTGAGGCTGACTAGGCAGTAGCTCCTCAGACCATTCTACTTGTCCTTCTTGAAGATAGGAGCATTTCCTTTCTACCAGGGGACCTCTGCGGGTGGCAGGGACCTTTCAAAGACTGTGTGGATTATGTATGGATTCACATCATCCATTTCCCTCAGGATCCCATCAGGACCCATAGGCCAGGTTGTTGAGTTTGTTTAAAAGTTTCCTAGCCTGATCCACAGAAGATCAGTCATCAGTGCCCCAGTCTATTTCACTGGTCTCAGGTGCCTGGCACTTCTGAAAGTTAGTCAGACCAGCAAAGATTGAGGCTAAGAAGACATGTAGTGCCTCAGCCTTTTCCATGTCCTTTGTCATCAGATATTCTGTCACGTTTAGTAGCTGGATATGTTTTCCCTAGACTTCCTTTTATTGCTGAGATATCTGTAGGAATCTCTCCTGTTACCCTTCAGTTCTATCTCAGATTCAGCACCAGGAAAGTTTTGACTTTCCTTACCTCATCCCTGCCCTTGCAGAGAGTGTCTCTACAGTCTTCCTGGGTGACTGACCCTGCATCCACTTCCTGTATGCTTCCTTTTTGTGTTTCATTTTTTTCTGGGTTGCCTTGCTTCCTGCACATAGGAATTATTGAGTTTGGACAAGTTGCTACTTAGAAATCAACCAGCTGTCCTAGACCACTCTTCTGTCATGGGATTTTTCCCAGCCAGATCCCCGAGTAAGACCAAATCTGCTCTCTGGAACAGGTAGTAATTTTGCTTTTTCACTTTCTCCATCCTCTCATGATCTGGAGGTCCACTTTCTCATGGTTGCTGCAGACAAGGCTGACAGTCACCTCTGCAGACATGTCATCTGAGAGGGGCTGGCCAGTCTGATGAACACAGACTTGTGTCTCCTCTTGTCCATCCTTTTAAATCTTTCCACAGGAAAGAAGGTATTTTTTCTGACTGTAGACAGAAGATAATTATTTTCAGCCTGAAATGTGAATATTGGTTATTTTAAGTAAAATTAAAACTATGTACTTTCACACACAAACATGCCCCTGGTTTCACACACACACAAGACATATGTTTTGTAATATTAAATGCCTTTAGGATATGAGAGAGAATTGCTGCTGAAACTCGAACAAAAGATGGCATTACACTTTTCACCCATCACCAAGGGTGAGACTAAACGAAGTCCTAACTCCCATCAGCATGGTTGTGAAATGGAATGTGTTAAAAAATGTGCCTTTCTCTTCTTGCAGATCAAATATTCTATCATGCACCCAGGGACTCATGTCTGGCCCCACACAGGGCCCACCAATTGTCGGCTGAGGATGCATTTGGGCTTGGTGATCCCTAAGGAAGGCTGCAGAATACGGTGTGCCCAAGAGGACAGGTATGGTTGCAATATTGGGTTTTTTTTTACTGTTTTGGGGGGAAGGGGGTTGTTTGTTTGGTTGTTTTGGGGTTTTTTTTTCCCCACTTTCCTCAAGATTGAAGAAGGGATGGGACTGCATGTAGTTAAAAAACGGAAGAAAAGGGGGTGTTTTGATAACCAGAATGTGTAACATATTTCATTAAATAGGGAGTTTGCACTCTGACTCATGGTACAAACTTTTAAATAAACTTATAAAGTTCTGAAACAGTGCCAGGAGAATCTTTTGATACAAACCTGCACTTCTCTGCTATGGCATGGAAATAACAGTGGGTTTGGTCAATGGGCTCTCTGTTTACTTTTACAATGCCAGCCTAAACAGAGTTCCTGTATTTAATTTGATTTTGGAGAGATGTAGAATTTGTTGCTGCTTTGGCAGAAGCTGACTAAGATCTACCTGCATTTTCAGTGCTGTGACAGAATACCATGGTACTTCCGGCAGAAGCCTCCTTTTCAGCTGGTATTATTTGTTGTAATTCAGTTAAAATATTCCAGTTGAAATTGATCTCAGGATGAAGACATCTGTGAAATTTTAGGCCCAATGAATTACTCAGGTGGCAATTTTATTTTAAAGTGTGCTTTAAGGGAAGTTTCTTAGCCATGATGGAAAAATTGTATTGAATTTCGAGTCAGTTTTATCTCTGTTTGCTCAGTCCAAAATGAAATTTAATGCAATAGCTTATACAATTATAATCAGAGCATATACTCCCCTTAGAAAGATACAAAAATGTGCTATATTTTTTGTATTATATTATTAAACACAGAAAGAAAAATGTAGTGTCAACTATATTGCTTATTGCTTACAGGCTAAATTTGCTAGACTTAAGTGAAGTTCTCATGATGCTTAATATCTGTACATATATTTTGAAAGATTCTGCACCTTCTGAAGGCAACAAGTGCTAACTTTGAGTTATTTTCAATGTACTAATATAATTAATGGTAGAAATATAATTAATTTGATAGTGAGAAATGAAATGCTGCTCCTGTCTGCATGGCTGCAATACATAGCAAAAGAGGTTATTTTTATAGCATTTGAGAACAACCACAACTGGAAATCTTTGGAATTTTTGAGGGTAGAAGTATCCAGCTGTAAATAACAAAAAGTGTTGTTGCTATACTCTCCTGCTAACATGTAGCTTATAGTCAGTGTTACAACCTACACTACCTACATCTAGAAAGTGACTTTTTTTTCCAGCATGCCAATCCACTATCCAAATCAAGTTGGGTGGAAGGAGAGGTAGCTAATTGCCCTAGAGGACTGATATAGAGGCATGGAGCCTTTTCGCTTTGGGACATTAATGTGAGTTCAGAATGGTGGTGATTGCATGGCATTACCATTAGGTGGCTGTTTAGTAGCTGGTGTGAACAAAATAGTGGTTTTGCTGTGCTGCCAAGAGAGCAGGTGTCCACAGCTCACCACCTGTTATAAGGCTGGCACCCTTCTTTGTCTTAACCTGGACAGAAGGGATAATCCTGTGGGGAATGAACTTAACTCTTCCTTGGTAACAACACTCCCTCAAAGTCAAGAGCAGAAAAATGCCTGTTGCTGCAGATTGTAGAGCATGTCAGTGTCCAGATTCCAGAACCTGGGTCAGACTTCTGCATCAGACATATTCATTTCAGATGTAAAACGCTCAAAAGGACTACAACTTCTGCTGAAATGTGTTAAGATCAGTTGCTTACAGCAAGAGCTGTGCATTCGGAAACAAGGGCAAGATTTTCCCTGGAAGCACTCAAAGTGTGTCTGCTGCTGGCAGTGAAAGGGCTTTTATATATCCTTCTGGCAGAGGAGGTGTGTGAACTACTGGCAAAGGGAATGGTGCCAGGAGGAAGACTTAGCCTGAGCACTTTCCATTCCTTTCCTCCCGGTGGCTCAGAGCAGTGGTAAACTGGTGGTTTCCAATAGGAGAGCTGGCTGGAAGAGGAAGGTTAGCACCATGGCTTTTCTGGCCTCCTGTGCCACTGCTGTGTGTGTGAGAGAGCGAACAGAAACAATGAGAATTTCATGCTTGGTTACCTCTGTGCCACCAGCATGGCTCTTTAGAGAGTTACAGTGCGACTCATCATTTGATGGAAGGCAAATCAGCGCTGTCTAGTGGTGTGTTTTACTCCTTCATTTGCAGAAGAGCTTCTTGCAGCTGTTTGGAGTTGGCGTACCGTGCAGTTGAGGGCCACAAAGATGATCAGAAGGCTGAAACACCTCTGCTGTGAGGAAAGGCTGAGAGAGCTGGGGGTTTTGACTTTGAGAAGAAAAGGGTCCAGAGAGACCTCATGATAGCCTTTAAGTACATGAAGGGAGCTTTTAGGAAAGATTGCGACAGTTTGTATCAGACAGGTTGCAACAGGACAAGGGGTAATGCTTTTAGTCTAAAAGAGGGTCAGTTTAGATTATGTATATTATAGGTAAAAATGTATGAAGCCAATTTAATAATTAAAATATTAGATTTTATTTCACGACCCATATACAGTCTCGATAGCCACAATCAAAGGGACAGTGTCAACCCCAGGGTCGGCGCTGGGTGAACACTGATCCAACTTCTATCACATCAGATCCCCTCTGTTCACATAGGCTGTCCCTGTCCAGGTAGTTTTTATACAGTTTGTTCTGCCTGAGACAGAGTCTCTTTTCTTCCTTTCATGGCTTCACATATTCATGTAGTTTCTTTTCTCTGTGTTGAGCTGGGCAAAACCGTGTCCGGGAAGCGATGTATGCCAATCATCGAGTTACAGGAACTCGGCGTTGAGATGTGTGCTCCTGATGGCTCTGGCTATCTCAAGATACCTATCGAGTATTTCCTGGACCATCCTGGAGAAGGGCCCATCTCTGTGCTGAGCCACGTTCATGCGTTTCCTAATTAGGTCCTTCTTTCTGCTGCCAGCTGCGGTTTCGCAATTTTGTGAAGCAATCTCTCCGGTTCCGGCTTGTGTGTTTAAAACTTTTAAGAATATTTCTTACAAACATAACATATTCCCTGTATATTTCATATAAGCACTAATTATTCCAAATCATATATAACAAGGAGAAGTGTTCTATAGAGAGAGTGGTGAGACACTGGAGCAGGACACCCACAAGAATTATAGATGTTCCATCACTGGAAACATTCATGGTCAGGCTGGACAGGACTTTGAGCAGCCTGATTGAGTTGAAGATGTCCCTGCTCATTGGAGGTTTTGCCTTTAAAGGTTCTTTCAAGCCAAACTGTTATGATTCTATGTTTCTTGTTCTGTATAGCATTGATAATTTTAGGCCACTTGGCCGTTTTGCAGTCCCAGCTCTGGGGAGTGCAGGGTATAATACACAAAACTGGTAGGTAAATAATACTCTATCATAATCATATAATATCATATCATAATCCAACATCGCTATCAAATAAGGTAATCTTATCTTGAAATGAAGGTGAAGCTAGAACCATTATGCAGAAGCCAGTCTGAGATCTCACCTTTAACAGGTGACACTAGAGAATTATCTGGAAACTACCCCAAAGTGGCTCAGCATCAGACCAGAACAATATGGTCCCTGTGTTACTACTGAGAAGTGTTTCTCACACCATCCGGCTTCTAGAAAATATTTATTTGCATGCTAATAGTGGGGTTTGTAGCCTTTTCAAAAGGGGCTAATAGTCCCGTCAGCTTTATGACTTTTTCTTTGTTGTGCAAAACAGCCGATCCCATTATGATGCAAATTATAGATCCTGGGTTTTAACCTCTGAAGCTACTTCATCTGGGTGCCTGAGTTTTTATTGTCCTTAACTGAGTTGCACTTTCAGGCTATTTAGAGCAGTTCTTTTCAGGCTTGATTTAATTTAAAAAAAAAAAAAGAAACAAAAAAATCCTTAAAAAAAACCCTAAACCAACCGAAAACCCAGCTACTCCCCCAACAAGAAAAACAACACTAGATCTCAATTGCTCCAGACAAAGGAACACCAAATCCCCCAACCCTCCCCACTAAACATCCCTGGTGCCACCTCCCAAAAAAACCCAACTCAAACCCACCCAAAATCAATCCCCCAAAAAACCCCAGAAAAAAACTCCAAAAAATAAACCAACCTCAAAAAAACAAACCAAATTAATTATACTATTACTATTATACTATATTATATTCAAAGTCTGCTTGAATTTTTTTGCCACATTATAGCATTGCAAGTTGTTTACTCCCATGGACTTTAATAAAACCAATGTAATTTTAGTGCAGTACCAGTAACTCAGGGTCTGTGTGACATACAACATTTTCATTGCCAGATAACTGATGTGGTAGCAACAAACCCCACATGACCATATTTGAAACCTGAAAAAGGCTGTTTATCTGGGCCTTTAAGGCAAGTCAGTGTGAATTTTTTTCACTATGTTATGCCTTTTTTTAAAAATTATGTTTAGCTGATTATTTCAATTGATCCTATTTCAATTTCTCTTCAGAACCTTTCAGTATCACCCCATAAATTTTGAAGGTTACTTTTTCCTTTTTCTGAATTACAAATATGAAGATGAATTGGAAGTATAAACCTAGTTTTCAGCCTGTTTTTGAAAAAAAAATTGTTTTCTCTGTAAATGAATATCTGAATGAGCTTAAGCAATGCATTTCCATCTTTGATGGCTAGGCCTTTGTTTCTTTACCATTTTTACTGTTCATAGTGCTTACTTCTGTCTGAGGCCATCCATCCTCTTGGATTGCTTCAGCTCCTGAGGGATCCTGTTAAAAAAAATGAGTGTGTGTTCATGGTAGAGTGGCTTTAGGAAAGAATGTTCCTTTGACTGTTGTTACCTTGACTGGTATTCATCCAGTCTCACCTGGAGGTGTATAATCAAGTGTTAAACTTCTCTTCAAAATTATGAATCCAGGTCTCAGCAGGCTGGAGAAGCTGCCAGCTGAAATGTGATGAAGTTCAACAAATAGAAAAGCAAAGCCCTGCACTGAAAACAGATAAACACCTTGCAGCTGTAGTGGCTGGATGATGACTACCTAAAAAACAGCTTTGAAGAAAAGGGCTTAAGGACCCTAGGGACCAAGTTGAACATGATTTATAATCCTCTTTTGTATTGATGAAGTCTAGCTGTGTACTGGACTGTGTTAGTAAATTTGTAGGAAACAGTTTGAGCAGTGCAATTTTTTCCTCTCTCTTCTGCATTCAAGACATTGCCTCTGGAGTACTGTGTCCAGTTTGGGATATTTTAGTACAAAAAAGTCATTGATAAACTAGAGGGACTCCAGTGGAGGATGGTTAAGATGATTAGGAGGAGAAACTCAAGAAACTGGTTTGGAGTCTGGAAACCAGAAGGCTACAGAGTAGCCTAGTTACTGTCTTAACTACTAATGGGTGACTGTGAGGAAGACAGAGCCAGACTCTTTTCAGAGAGGTGCAGTTGTAGAATGAGAGGTAATGAACATGAGTGACAGTGAAGGAACTTGTATCTAGGTAAAAGGGAGTTTTCACAATAAGATGGTAGAGTGCCTATGGTTGCAGATATCTCAGGCTCTTCACTAGCAGATTTTTTAATATTTCATCTAACCTCAAAGTTAGATGTAACTTTGCAGTGAGTCCTCCCATGAGCAGAGGCTTGGACCACATGACCTTCCAAAGGCATTGTTCTGATTTTTAGGAAAAGCAAATTGATTCAAAGTAATTTCTTTTTGAACCATGTGGCCATGTTACTAGTCATTCCCTCAGTCTCCATCACTTATGTACATCACTGATGTATCTGATTAGAAATGAAGAAAAGTGGATTATCACACCAATACTATACTCACTCAAGTAATTAAAAATATAATAAATAGCATACACCATAAATGTCTGAATGTGTTGTGAGCATAACTGTATAGAATGTGGGGGAAGGACCCCTCAGTAACATAAAGGTTCATTAGACTAATCTTTCTGTAGTTTCTTTAAAGCTCCCATACTCCAGTCTCTCTGGATTAGGCAGTGAAATCTTGACTATGCAATCTGTACTGTTTAAATCTTTCTCATATGTCAAAGAGCATCTTCAGAGCTGATCTGTAGCTTACCTGCTCCATGGCCCTTCAAGTACTACACTAAAGTATGTACTTTTTGTTTTACAGAGACTGGGAAGAAGGGAAAGTTCTTATTTTTGATGACTCCTTCGAACATGAAGTATGGCAGGATGCCGAAAGTTATCGCCTGATATTCATTGTGGATGTGTGGCACCCTGAGTTAACAGCTCAACAGAGACGTACCCTTCCTGCTATTTAGGGGGTTTCTTCTGATGTGTGGAGCAGAGGAGTATTAACTCCTTTGGAGTATGAAAGTAGGATCAATTTATCCAGCATACAAAGTATACAAGCATTTTAAGGGTAAGAAAAGATAAGGATGACATTCTACAATCAGAGTGGACTTGGTTTAAAAGCAAAAAGAAGCCATGTTTTGTTTCATACTGATACAGCACTGATGTGTATTGTTTTTCTGGCTGTAAGTCTGAAAACACAAGTTTTGTCAGCCAAAAAGCAATAGATCTGGATTTTCAAGCTGAGGAATGTGCAGATGTTTTTGCCATGCCTGTATTTTCTTTACAAAACCAGTCATTCAGTCACCTGCTTGACTATGTTCAGGCGCATGATTTATGATTTTACATCTAGGGAATACCTCCTGGCCTTCTGTCTGGGAAGCAACATGTAAGATATTTGCAAACATATGCACACAACTGACTTTGAAAACAGTATGCAGGTGTAATGTTAGCTGCTTTAGGCATAGAACATGTCCCTATGTTATCACTGTAGATAATGTGAATGGATTATATGTGTTTTGTACTTTTTCTATCTGAGTAACTGTATTTTTCTAGCTTAATTATGAACAAATCTTCTTTAATTAACCACTATTTTTTGAAAAAGGTGATATGTATACAAGTGCGTGCGTGTATAGCTATCAGCAGAAGGAAAACACTATATGAACAAATTTCATTTTTGCCAAGTGTGGCCTTCTTTTGCCTTCCTGGAAATGTAAACAGCAACTTGCATAATAGCTGCCTAGTGAAGCTTTGTTCTTCTAAAACAGAATAGTTCTCTTAGTTAGCAGAGGACCTTCAGTTTGACAATGTGATTTTGGAAAATGTTGAGCAAATCTGACATTTTTAGGCTCAGATTGTGAAGTACTTGACCATTCTTAGGATTATATGGTGAGCTGCTGTTTCTCCTCTCATTACAAAAGCTTCTGGTATTACATCCTTTCTCTACCCACCCCCTCCTTCCAGGGGCTCCTCCTTGGTTGCCCTTGGGTGATCATTCAGAAAAAGAAAAAATGAAAAAAAAAAAATACTTTCTTTTGCTTTGGGCAGAAAGACAAGGTCCAACTTGGCTTCCTGCCAGAATGCAGAGCAGACGAAGACCTTCAAGTTATTACCTTGTATTAACTTCCACTGCCAGCATCCTACAGAGTGCTGGAATGATCCTCTAATTGACCTAATGGTGTTTTCCTTGTCTTGAAATGAGTGACATAATGCTGAAGTAGTCTGATCCCAGTACTGTTTACAGTGTACTCTGTATTTGCCATACAGAATTTACTATATGATGAAACAGCCTATTTTCAAGAACGAAAACTAGTTAGATGTCTAAGTAGTTGATAGATATTTTGGGAGAATGCAGGACCCTCCACTTTTAACTTCTAAGAACACTAACAGGAGACAGAGAGCAGAGATTGCACTGCTGCTGTTTGTGGCTGGCTGTTTTCTCCTCACCCACAGCACCAGCTGGGTGTGGACAGGTGTGCTAGGATGCTCTGGGCATCATTACTGAGGGTTGTGAGTGGCAAACACTAATCAAGGAGACACTGAGATTACTTATTCTCTGCAGCTTTGACTTTCTTGTCCAAAAGACATGGAGCAGTTTTTATCTGTGTAGTACTCAGTGGCTTATTGCTGCAGAGTCCACATCATGGCATTGGAGCATCATGACCTGAATGTCACATTTGCTGAAGCAAACTGCAGATAAGAGCTTTGCATTCCCATGAACTGAATGCTTTTCAGGTTCTTTGTATTTTACTAGGTCATTAAATCTTGTAATGCCATATAACACATGGTGACTGCACCATGAATTAGTGTGAACAGTTTCTGGAAGTGTGCACTTTAATTTCCTTTTTTGAATATTAAACTGATAAACCCTGCCTTATCAAGAGTCACTTTTAGACAGCTAAGATAATTAGGTTTTAACGTGTTGTCCATATCAAAAATAAGAAAGAAACTATACACAATGTACCAGAAAGTAACAGTTCTCAGTTAATAATAATGAAAAACTGTAAAGATTTGTAAGTTTCACATAATATAAAAATGCTTTTGGAGATCATTTGGAGAATCATGCAAAACTGGAAATAAGGTACTTTTTGTGGGGGGTAAAAGAGTAAAAATATTTTTAAAATATCCTGTTAGCTGTCAAGTCAGAGCCTATTTTTTATATCTTTTTAACGTGATCGAGCAGTACAAATTATAAGGTATTTCTCCAAATAAAGACTGTGTGTATAAAGAAAAAAATCAAGAACTTCTTAAAGAAAAATTGATGATTTGGGAATGTTTTTATTAATGTTGCATTTTAGTTTCTATAGCTCAGAGTAAATGCTAAAGGAGTGGCAAAAGCTTTGGAGCTTTATTTATGAAAGTCCATGCCGTCCTTCAGATTATTTCATTGTTCCTTTTTTAGGCTCATACTTTATCTTGTGCAATTGCAATTGGCAAATAGATAAAATTGGCAAATAGATAAAAGTAATCTCCCAAGATGTGTGTGTGCCAGAGCAGCACTGTTTATTAGATTGTGTAGTGATACATTAGCCATTTAAAAATCTTAAGTGCCTCAAATAAGACAAGGTGTTCCTGCAACACTGAAGGGAATCTATTCTATGCCCATCTGTCAGGGAGCAAAGAATGCATAATTTTTTTAGATGTAGTTACTGGATTAGCTTTGTATGTAGGGAGGATACATAGAGCAGAAATTCTGCAGTGAATTACTGGCATATTGTTTTAGGTGTTCCTGTTTGCCAAGTGGTATTCTGTCTTGGAAAAGCTTTTTAACATTGGAAATGCCATGGGAAGAAGTGAAGGGAAGTGTTTTTTACAATGGAAATCCATTGCAATTTGATTTTTTTTTGTTAGATTTATTTACAGAAGGAAATGGCAGGCAAGGGCAGTATAGTTTGTAACACAGTATGTACTCATCACCATATTCCTCCCTTCCTGTTGTTACCTTGCTTGCACAGAATCTGTGAAAGAGCCTAAGGTTAAATGCTGGCTTCATACAGTTATATACAAGGTATCATATGTATTTATTCACATCACAGTTAAAGAAAGTAAATAATTTATCCTTTGCGAGGTTTGATCCTCAAGGACTAGATTTCAGTGGTACTTGCACTTCTTGGGCAGGACAAGACCCAATTTAATGAACAGTGATTGTAACAGATCATTGCAAAGATTCAGTGGCAGTGGGGGTAAGTGTATTAACAGAGAAAAATCACAAACCAAAGTATTTCTTCCTCAATGCTGCAGTATAATAGCAAATGTCTGTCTTTTTTTGTCTCTTTTGGTTTTTGCTTTCTGCTTTAAGCACATTCTCTGTACAAATCCAAATGCATTTTAGTCTCTGTGATCCCAGGAGAAGAGAAGGGAGCTGCTACCAGGCCTTGACATCCTTGTTTCCTGTAATAGGTGGTGATGATTTTGGGTGGGAGGAGGGGGGGATGGAAGAAACCCCAAAGATAAATGGGCTCAGTCATCTGATTTTTTTTTTTAATGTTCCTGCAAGCTTCTGCTTCTTTTTCTTACTCCTGTGTTGCCTTGCTGGGACCATCCACAGCCTTAAAGACTCCCTTTCTGTCATGGAGGCCAGGCTTTGTGTCAGTGACATATTGCTGCAGTAAGAGGTTAGTCTGAATGAGGACATTCTGTACGAAAACTAGTGGGTAAGTCCCAGGTGTGTCGATAGGATCTGGCAGGATGTCCTTTCTGCCCTGTGCAGGCATAAAATATTGTTGTAGATAAAGGCAGTATTTTGTTAGTCCATCTATTAGGGCTGGCCGTGTCCACTTGACCTATATCATCACTTCAGCCTAACACTTGAGAATTCAGTGGGTGTTCCAGTGCACATTAAAAACCCTTGTGCCCATTATCATCTCATTTTGTATGTATGGTTTACACTGCTACCTTTGCTATATTGTTGCCAACTGCTTGTTCTAGTGAATTGTCAATGTATGGCAATTTAATTGAAGATTTAAAGTGTGTACAGTGATTGTAACTGTTTTAAGAAATAAAGTCACTGCACATGCAATTTGATAACGATTGTTCTTTTATTTCTTTAATCCAGTTTCCATTTCAATGAAGGGATGGTACTCTAGAGCAAACAGAGATATAACAAACTGATCTTTGGCATTTCAGTTCTTCTATTCTTCAACATTTCCTTCTAGCAGAAACTTGTACTGGATAATTAATTCTAAGTTTTCCTTTTTCATTTTAACCATGGCCCACATCTGCAATCAGCATACCTTTCTGGCTGCACTTTTCCCTGACTGCAGGAGGGAAGGGGCTAAATGATTCTGCAGAGCTTTCATTTGCTGTTGTGTTCTAAAGGAAACAATCTGGATTGAACCATGAATCACTGCTGAATTTGTCCAGTGTGTCAGCCTGGAACCACCCCCTTCACATGTGCACACACATGCACACACACGTCTTATAGGCTCCTAAGTTGCCTGTGGAAATTTTAATCATTTTTAAAATCAAGTAATTGCATTTCAAATTGTGTGTGTCTGCTGCTCACACAGCTCATTCCACTTAGCTGGCAGTTTTAGAAGGGCTTCAAAAGTTAAGAACAATTTTTGCTAGATGCTGAAATGTGACCCCCATATAAGCTGCACAGATGAGGCAGTCACAACATATCATGTTGAATGGCATTATGGCTGGCACTGGGGTTCTTTTTTAAATGCAAAATCCTTCTGTAAAACTCAAGTACTCTATAGATGCTGATGATTCTGCCCTCTAACCCAGATTACACTTGCTGATTACAGCGTAAAGTTTAAATTTGAGATGCTTTTCTTTAAAACTCTTACAACCTTCACTTCTATAAAATGAACATCCCTGATGGAGTCTTCAGAAACACTATGAACACACCCTGGTTTCTTTCAACAGAGAATGCAGTCCCACCATTTCCAACATTTTAATGTCACAAGTCAAAGAGGAAAAAAAAATAAATCCAATTCTTTGTGTATGGACAGACTGCTGTGTGAGTAGAAGTTTCTCAGTTCTTGTTCAGCAGCGGCCGTGGGACAGATGGCTGGTGACAGCTGTCACTTGGTCAGGAAACACGAAGGACTGGTTATTGGCGAAACGTGTGTGTGCGTGCGCGTGTCTGTGTGTGGTGGGCTCCGTGGGGTTCTGGCATGGTGGAGGTCTGCTCGTGGATCTCCGTGGGGCTCGTGAGAGCTCAGTCCAGAGCCAGCAGTGGCTGGGTGTTCTCACTTTCCCCCTGGTCTTCGTGTTTCAGCGTGCCGGCTTCCACCACAGACTGGGACCTGAATGCAGAAAACACACGTGATAGCAATGACTGCTGCAGATGCAATCCCTTCCCACGGGTCCCCCTGCTCCTTTTTATGATCTTTGCTTTAGTCCATTTTCATCTTTATGGCTTTTTAAGTCTTTTCTGTGGAAAGCATAAGGAATTTGGGAAACACTTCTTTAAATACAAGCAGGGAAGGGAAGATCATTGAAGATCTCAAATGCTTTCAAAATATTTAGTGCTTAGCTACTATCCCTAGTGCTGAACCTGCTCAGCAACTTAAAGAGCTTCCAGGACAGAGCTTCCATGAGGTACGCAAGACAATAAAGAAGATGGGGTTAATATGATGATGAGGGAGCTTCTGGTGTGCCCAGTCCTGCAGTTTATCTCCCTGTCTATACCCTTGAAGCATAACTTTATTTAAAATTCATTTCTGTCTTCAAGGTGGGAAGCATAGTTTATATTTTGTTATTAATGGATTAAAAAATTCCAACATGGGAAAATGAGTAAACATTAGAGAAAGAGGAGCATCATGATTTCTTGCAGTAACAAAAGCTGAATGGGATCAAAATTGTGGGGTGAGAATGGGAAATGGGAAAATTCAAGACTATTTAATTTTCTGAGGTCTGTGTGCTATAATGTTTGCTTGCTGAGCTATGGAAGGAGGATCTGATGAATTTATTGTCACAGAGATTTGTTATCCTGCATTTTCTCTGTTTTGGGCTAGGAGTTGCCTTCCAATTTGAAGGAGAAAATGAGCTTCAGAGCAAGATCTCTGAGTGAATCTGGAGCTTTTAGAAGGGGAACTTTTTCATAAGTGGGGATAGAGTCATCCAGACCTGGAATTCACATAGTATTGTTATAAAGTGCCAGTTTTCTCATTGATAGCTTTTAGAATTAGGAGTAGCTGTCATTCCATACATGATGCATTTGTAGTTCCCAATTGTTCATTTATGCTTTAACTATTTTGTGAGATTAGATGTCACCTCTCTTTTTATAAGAATCCTTAATAAATTACATCCTTTGGTAGTGCAAGACTGAATATCGTGACTGTGAATAACTTGTATGATAATTATTCCTATTCTTATGCCTGGAGCTTTCATTAAAGCATAATAAAAAATTTTCATTTAAAAAAATTTCCAAAGAAAGATAACAAAAACTGGATGCTCAGTGGGAAGACTTTGTGCCATAATTTTCAAAGAAATTATGTTTGCCCTGAATGTTTTCACTGCATATTTTTTTGCAGATATGTGACATGAATAGTCATTTATGATTGCATTTTAATACAGAAAAGCAGCTGATTTGGGAGATTATGCTAAATGACAATTTACATATTTCTAGTATGAGGCAGCAAAAAATAATCATGTGGCATTCAAACTGTTACAGAATGGATTGAAATTGCAACATCACCAGGTTTTTATTTTCTTTTTGACTACTAAATTAACTTATTATTAAATACTACCTGATTAATGCTTATCACCAGTGTATTGTTTCTGTCTGACCCACTGCCCTTCAATGGATATAAAAAGTTGTGTATCCTTTGCAGCATTTCCCAGTGCACAGCTGAAAGTTTCTGCTCTAAGTCAACTGTGGAAAATCTGAAAATTTTTCCTTTTGTCATCACTGCTGGTTATCTCTGCTTTCATCTTATTACACACTCAAAAATTCTTGCATTCTGTAACAGCAAGATACAGGGTTCTCCACCATAATGGTACTTGGATGCACACCACCTTGGGGGCAACATAATCCCAAATTCTGTGTTCAGGTCCTATTCTGTTTCTTTTTACACAGAAACAAAACATGCAGAGCACTGAGTAAATGTGTTATAACCCACCTGACCTCCAAAGTCCAAAAGCCAAATTATTGAAATGCTGTGCCCAGCCTTTCTGAATAATGTGGGGAGGGATCTGAGATTTTTGTATATACTAAGTTCTGCAGCAACAATTTCTTTTCTGTTTCTGCTGAAAGCTGCTTAGATTACTATCCTAAAATAAGCAATTCTGATATCTATCTGTAGGGCACAATTATGGTTTGAACAATCATTGCTGTTTTCTAAGACACTACAATAAAAGGATTTGTGTTTGGATTTCCATTTTCCAAATACATCAGGGGTTTCTTTGCAGAAAAGTGTTTCCAGTTTTATTTTTAACTTACTTTTTTATGTAGAAAATAAAAAAAAAAAATCAGTCAATTCCAAAAAAGATTCCAAAATATTTTTTTCATATTCAGTTGGTAAGTATTAAAAATGTAGATGGTCAGGTTTTGAAGATGTGAATCAACAGAGCTCACAATCTAATGTAATAACTTAGCATGAGATATATATTTCACTGGCCTGAAGCATCCTGAATGCATTCTATAGCTATACTTTATTTAATGACAGAGAAAAGTTGATTTGCAGTAGGCCACTGCTGCAGAAAGCAGTTTCAACTGACCAGTAACTGCAGAATCAAAGAATCACAGAATGTGCTGAGTTGAAAGGGACCCATCAGGTTCATCAAGTCCAATTTCTGGCCCTACACAGGACAGCCCCAAGAGTCACACTATGTGCCTGAGAGCATTGTCCAAATGCTTCTTGAACCCTGTCCGGCTGGTGCTATGACCACTTCCCTGGGGAGCCTGTTCCAGTGCCCAACCACCCTCTGGGTGAAAAATCTTTTCCTGATATCCAAAATAAACCTCCCCTGACTCAGCTTCATGCCCTTTCCTGGGGTGCTGTGACTGGTTAGGAGAGTAAAGATCTCTGCCTTCCCTTCCACTTCCCCTCATGAGGATGCTAAATACCACAATGAGGTCTCTCCATCTCGTCCAGGCTGAAAAACCAAGTGACCTCAGCTGGTCCTCATGTGGCTTCCTGTCCTGTGCATTCACCAACCTCGTTCCTCCTTTGGACACTCATTAATAGCTTAATAGCTTTATATTGTGGTACCCAAAACTGCACACAGCACTCGAGGCGAATCTGCCCCAGTGCAGAGCAGAACAGGACAGTCCCCTCCCTTGCCCAGCTGGTGATGCTGTGCCTGATGCCCCCCAGGACACACTTGGCTCTCCTGGCTGCCAGGGCACTGCTGACTCACATTCAGCTTCCCATCAACCAGGACCCCAGGGCCCTTTCCACAGCATTCGTCTCCAAGCTTTTGTTCCCCACACTATTCACACCACCAGGTTTCCCCATGCCAGGTGCAGAATCCTTGTTATGTTCCATGTGGTTGGTGATTGCCCATCTCTCTGATTTGTCAACATCTCTCTGCAGGGCCACCCTGCCTTCCAGGCAACCAACAGCTCCTCCCATTTATTGTTGTAAATATTCCTTCCAGTGCTGCATCCACATCTTTAACGCAGCTGTTGAAGAGCACAGGGCAGAAGATGGAGCCCTGCAGAGCCCCACTAGTGACAGGTTGCCAGTCTGATGTCACCCCCTTCACTGTAACTCTTTGTGCCTGACCCGTGAGCCAGGTGCTCACCCATCACATGGTGTGTTTTCCAGCTGGGTACTGGATATTTTGTCAAGAAGGGCACTGTGATAGACAATATCAAAAGTGTTGCTGAATTCCAAAAAGATCTCATTAACTGGCTTTCCTAGATCAGCTAGGTGGGTTACTCTGTGGTAGAAGGAAATCTGGTTTGACATGCCAGACTTTCTCCTCATCACCGCCCTGAATGTGACCAAAGACTGAATTATCCTCCAGGTGGTTTTCAGTATCACCCAGAATATTTTTTTCTGCATTTCTACTGGGCACTGAAGGGAGACTAACAGGCATGTAGTTTCCTCCTTCTTGCCCTCCTT